TCAGGGCGAATTCCAGACAGGCCCCCACCCCGGCCAGAGGGGCAGCCTCTGCCACCCCCAGAGAGCCAGGTAATAACTGAGGGGCCACGCCAGGCTCGCCAGTACCTGAGCCACCGGCAGCAGATAATGACGGGGGAGCCGGGCAGGCAGAGCCAACCCCTCAATCAGGAAGCAAATTAAAAAGGGGAGGAATCTCCCAGACAGACCACAACAATGAGACCAGGTCCCCTTTCCAGGGCACTGCCCATCCTCCCCGCTACCCACCCGATTTCACCTACCAGGTCCTGATACCCAGCCTCTTCTCTAATTCCCCTCTCGTGGGATCTGTGGTTGGTTCCCTGGGTGACCCTGGCTGCAGGTTGGTGGCAGGATCCAAGTGGCCAGGACACAGGTTGCCAGGGCTCTGAGGGTACCTTCACCAGCCTGAACTTGGATTCTGACAGGTTACTGGATGTAGCTTGGGGTGAAAGAGGAGGGGTCAAGGCGGGCTCTGGTGCAGTCCATCAGGACTGCTGGAGGCCAGGTCTCAGTGGTTGCGACACAGGGGTGACAGAGGACCTCCAGCAGCCCCTGGCCTGGCAGCCTCTTAGCCTCTGCAAAGGGCAGTCTGTCCAATACCGGTTCTTGCAGCCTTAGCACTTGTCACTGCAGAAGATGCTGGGCACACAAGGAAGAACAGGGAAGCTCCAGTTCCTGAGGAGCTCATACACACGCACACACACCACTGTACTGCCTGCCAGGTGTATTTTAGGACTCTGCAAACAGAAAAGTCAGGGTCATACAAGTAGGACTCAAAAGATCAAGAAGAAGGTCCCTCCTTGGTGGTGCAGGGGTTAAGGCGCAGCACTGTGAAGCTGTCTGAAGCCACTGCAGCGTGAGTTCGATTCCGCCCAGGAGCTGACCCACATGGCGTGGCAGACCTCCCCTGACCCGCCCGCTGCTCCCCTCAGCAGTGTACTTCGTCCATCTGCCTGTTCTGCTCCCCACTTTGTCTCTGGTGAATCCTGTCACCACCACCCCACCTTTGCCCTGTACCCCAGCTCTGATATGCATAAATAAACAAATCTTAAAAAAGAAAATCAAGGAAAGCCCAGTGCAGAGATGCAGGGAAAATACCTAGGGGCCTGGAAATGTGTGGCCAGTGTGGATGGTGTAGAAGCCCCCAGTGGCTGGAACCAACCTGGGGAGTGGGAAGAGGCAAGGCTCGAAAGGTAGGCTGAGGCCAGATGGAGAATGGGGCTCAAATTCCAGGTCAAGGGGTGTGGACTTGCTTCTGTAGATACTGGGAGCTATTGAATGTTTTGAACCGAGACAAAACATACAGACCCTGTATGAAGAAGTGTGACTGCCCAGGGGGGACAAAGAAGACTCTGCTTTTCCTGCCTTTTCCCCCAGGGCTGCGGCTAGCCAGCCCTCTCTCCAGGCGCCTACTCGCCCCTTTTGGCCCAAACCGCCAACTCACTTTTCTGAGCAGACTGACAAGCACTTTCCCTTCCCCTTGCAGGAGCCACAAACCTTCCTGGGGAGGGTGGCAGCAGGGGCAGCTGGGGGTGGAGGGAAGCTGTCTCACTCCCCTTGCAGATCTTTGGGCTTCCAGGGTGATATTTTCCTATCGGATCCATGCTCTGCTTTCACGGTACCCTCCCCTGCCTGCCTGCCCAGGACTCCCTGGTCAGCTGGACTGTAGGAAATCTCTCCTCTAATTCACTGAGCTGTGGTTTATCCAGTCCCTTCTCAAAGAAAGACTGCGGGCTGTGTGGCCTGGGAAAGACATGCCTCCCCCCACCCCCCCAGGAGACGCCCACAAGTAGGGAAGATGAGAAAATAGCAACATGGAAGCAGAGCAGAGCACGGGACAGAAAGAGCTGGGCCACCTCTGCAAAGCAAGCCAGTGAGAAGGCTTCAGAGAAAGCAGTCTCTGGGTCAGGAGCCTGAAGGAGACATGTTCCCCTGAGTTGGAGGTGGGGGGCCAGGGGTGGAAAGAGTGGGAGCAAAAGGAGGAAGCTGAGCATGTCTGGTGAAAGTCAAGCCCAGGGGCTGGGCCGGGCTGGAGGGCTGGGCCAGGGCAATGGAAGTGAAGAGGACAGAGGTGAGGGAGGCCCAGGGGAGGGTCCTGACAGCCACTTCGCCCACTGAGCAGCTGCAGGTGCATCTCACGGGAGCGCCAAGAATGGCTTTTCAGCACGATGAATCTGCTAAAGGTCGAGAGACAGCTCAGGGTGGGGGACACAGAAATTCATGGGTGGCCTGAAAAATAAGCCAGGGGAGAAGTAACTCCTGGTACTAAGTGGCACTCCCGAGGACTCTCACAGACCAGTGCCCACTTCCAACTCATTCACTCACTCAACAAATATTTCTTAAGTATTTACTAAGTACCAAAAACCACCGCAGGCTCTTCACTTTTCTCCTTCTCTCTGTCTCCCACTTACACACTGACTTTCAGCTTGGAACACAGGCACACTTTCACCCGCATGCACGCTCCTGGGGGTCCCCAGCCAAGGTCTTCCTCCCCATCCGAATTAGTCCAGTAGCCACTGCCTTGGAGCAGACATGTGGGAAAAGTGTGGGGAGCAACAGGCAGAAAGGCTTGGAGCAGCTTGGGCGGCAGAAAGCTATTGGTGGGTGGGAAAGCAAAGCTGACCACTGAGGGTCAGGGATCTCCACAGGAGTAGCCAGGAGAAGGAGGAAAGACAGGGTGAGGAGAGCAGGACAGACCTCTGGGCTGAGGATGGGGGCGCAGGGGGAGAGCAAATTAGAGAGCTGGCGAAGGAAGCAGAGTCTTAGCAGCTAGAGGTGGCTGAGGGAGGAGGTGGGGGCCCGGGAGGGGGCCAGGGCAGAGGAAATGGGCCCAAGCACTGGAGACAAAAGTCTGGGAGTCTGAGCCTCCGAGGAGCCACCTGGAAGGTGCAGGCAGCGGCAACATCAAACCCAGGATCCAGGGTTGGCTCCAGGAGTGAGCTGGAGTGGGGGGGGGGGCAGGGGGAGCTGAGAGCAAGAGAGAGACTAGACTGTGCTAACCTGTGGGTCTCCAGCCACCTCAGCACTGCCCCTTCCTCTGAAGGCCACAAGCCAGGGCTCCAGAGTCCCGCCCCCCACCAAGCTCTGGGCCCCTTGTACCCATCCCATCTCCCTGCCTGTCATTGGTGATGGGAAAGCACATTACAAGGTGCGAACAGAGGAGGAAAGGGGGTGTCCTGCCAATTAGGGGGCCGGGCACATCAATAGCTCCCCTCCCTACAAACCAGTCAGGGTCCCCACACACCCTTACTGGTCCAAGGCTGGGGAAGAGATGTGAGGGCTGAGCCGTTTTTCTTTTCCCAACTCCCCCCACCCCAAATTCTCCCATCTTTTGGACTGGACCTGCTACCTAAGCATATGGAACCGATTGAAAGAATTTGTATGCTCACCTTATAATTTATGCAAATCAACTCTGTAATTAACTATAATTTGGAGGCATCCTTTGGTATTTGAGACATTTATCCATGAGGAAATGCCCTAGTGATAATGCTCCCGTATTAACATTATTTACTCCACCTGTGTGGTCTCCTCAGTTTGTACCCCCCCAACTCTGATTTTCTGGGCTGGAAGGTGGGGAGGGACCGGGAAGCCCCTCCCTGGAGCCTGTCTCAGTCCTGACGCCTGGGTTCCCCTGGGGGAGTTGTGCTGACTCTGTCCTCCCAATTTTGCCTGGCATTGAAGGCGGGGTGCATTGCTGTCCCCTAAGCCCCCCCTCCCACCACTTTACACCTTTTCTGCCTGGTGGGTAGCTTCTTGCTGGTGGGTTTTTTTTGATTTTTTTTTTTTGAGCTCTCTTAGGGACTCAACGTTCTCATCTCTGAAATGGGGAGAGGAAGGACCTGTCAGGGCCTTTACGGGATAATTACTAAAAAGCTAATGAAGGAACTGGGAATCCCCACTTTAGAGATTTCTGGGGGTACAGGGGGAGAAGCAGGTCAAGAGTTCAGGGTGCAGACTCCTGACTCACCCTTGGGAGACTGGGGGGGCGGGTGGAGGTGGCCCACAGCCTTGGGTTCCTGGGCCCTATGCCTGTGCAGAAGGTGCAGGGCTGCTCCTGTCCTCAGGGCCAAGGCCACGGCTGTGCAGACGGGATGTGATCACAGAAGAGCCTCCAGGCCACTCTGTGGGTCAGAATTTCAGGCTCCAGAGAGCTTGGGGAAACCGGTCTCACTTTGTTTCATCTCCTTTCTCCTTCCTGGTCTTAGTCCCTCTCTGCTCCAGGACATGCTCCTGATAGCCAACGTGCCTAAACGTACAGCCACCCTAAAATTAAGTTCATGTAAGAAGTTGGGGGCGTGGGGTGCCACTTAAATTCACCTCCACACCCGTCTCCCTTTCCAGGCCACGTTCCTAGCCTCTTCACTCTCCCGCCCTGAGCTCCGGGAGCCCTCAACTACCCGTACGTGCTCCTGGCAGCACTGCCCATGGTCTCATAGGACGTCGTGTCCACCCCAGCTGCCCTTCCTAAAGTCAGGGAGAGGGGCTTCCCTCCCACCTGACAGCCACAGAGCCCAGATTCCAGAGGTGGACCACTCCGAGTTGGGGACCCTGCGGGGGTGGGAAAGAAAAAGACCCACTTTCAGGGTGTGTGTGCACACACATGTGCTTCAGGTCTTAAAAGTGGCATTTCTTTTTTCTCACCACGTCCATGGAAGAAACTCCAAAGGTCAAAGGAGGGAGGTGGAATTTGGAGCGTTCTAGTCTTCCCAGCGCTCCCCCCAGCCACCCTGTCATTCCCTTCTTCCTACAAGCACCACTTTGTCCCTGTGCCCCTGGGTCAGATCTCTGTAGAGGGAAGGAAGCCCTGCTCCCTACCCCCACCCCCAGCTGCCTCTTCCAGCTGAAATCCCCCTTTCCTGGCAGACCTGAGACTCAGATCTCACCCCCTAACCCTCCCCCAGGAGAGGGGGGGCACTGTTTCCTGGATTATCCTAAAAGCTTCCGAGGCCCAGAGGACTTGGCAGCGCCCCTGCCCCCCTCTCTCACCCCCCCCTCTGGCTCTGACTGTCCCTCCTGTATAAAGCCTGGCTCTGCTGCTGTCACCCCCACTTGTCCCTCACTGCTGCTGCCAGCTCTGGCTCCATGGACTGGTAAGAGGGGCTGTTTCTGTCTAGTGCAGAGAGCAAGAGCATCAGATTTCCACTCTAAGTGAGGGTCACAGAGAAGGGTCTGGAAGCCTTGACTGTCTCTGAACTGGGGAGGACAAGATCAGGGGGAGATCTTGGAGGGGTCTGCATGGAGAAGCAAAGAGGGTTCCTTTGCAGTCTCTAGGCTGAGATCTGGGAGCTGTGGCGTGAGGCTCCACAGTGACTAGACGTTGGGAACTTCATTCTGAGAAAAGATGGGCTAATATTAGCAGACAAGCATGCAGAGTGCATGCGTGACAGAGACCCTGCAGATGTAGCAAGGGAGAAACTGCCATAAGCATCCTGTGAGGGACTCCCTTTATGAAGGAGGAGAGAAGACCTCAAATTCAAGCCCCAGAGGTCCACACAGGCACAAGGTGGACACAATGGCATGACGGTCACACATACACCTGCAGAGACACATACAGCTGCAGAAACACACACAGACACACCGCCCTACAGATTCACTATCCTCAGCTGGGTTCATCTTTCAGACTAAAAACAATATGGACACCAGTGAAATTTGGGTTATAATAGAATTAGTGTCCAACATAGGTCATGACACCTTGGTGAGTGTTTGTTGGTGAATAAAGGATGAAAGATAGGAAATCATTTGCCCCAGATCTGGACCCTATCCAGTTTCCCAGGAACCTGGGAGAGTGGGGGTAAATTAGTGTCAGGGCCAGCAGCTGGCTGTCTTTCAAATGCAGCCTGGAGGTGAGCTGGGAGTGGAGAAGAGAGCAACTAGGAAGCCAGGAGTTGGCAGACTGTGATTCTGGTCCCTGCTCTGCTTCTAACTGGCTGTGTGGCTTTGAGCTACTCACCTCCCTATTCTGATGTTCAGTTTCTTTGTCAGGAAAATAAGGGTTTGCACTAGACAATTTTTATGGGCAGACCAGCTTTGATATTCTCATAGCGTAATCTCCAGAGAAGGACAATTGAGGTTTGGAAGGGACCACAGATGTAGCTGTGACTTGTCCCAGCAATCAAGATTGGATCAGTTTGTCCTATTTAACTCAGGATCATGGACAGCTTTGATCTCGGGATTAGTTTAAGAATGCTGTCTTCTCTACCTTCAGGAGCTAGGGGAGTCAGGCTCCCACAGCCATGACTTCTGCCATTGTGAGGTTGGTTGAATAGCAGGCAGAGCATGGCTCATGAGCCTGACAGATCTGATCAGTTTCTTTCTCTGTCTCTTAATAGCTTTGTAATCTTAGGCAGGTCATTTAACTTCTTTGATCCTTGGCTTTCTCATCTGTATAATGGGGGAATAATGATAACTACTGTGTGCTTGGTGCTTATGAGAATTAGAGATTTGTGAAGCACCTGCAACATAGTAGGTGCTCAATAAATAAATGCTGGCTACAATGAACATGGAAATTAATAAGGCTGCTCCAGGAACAAGAGAGCTTGTTGACTGTAAAGAAGGTGTGAGGAGGAGTGGGTTGGTGGGAATGGAAGGTGGACATCTATGGCAAAATCTGCCCATTTACCCACTGGGGGGTGGGAGGGAGGGGGGCCGAAACGGTGCAAGTCCTGGGCAGATCTCCTCTGTTTGTGTGAGAGATGTGGGGGCAGCACTGATCAATTCTGAGATAAGAATACCAGCAAGGGGCAGGTCCTGAAGTGGTGGCATGTCCCTGTCACGTCACCCTTGGGGCACTGAGCTCTGTACAAAGCACCTAGCAAGTGGACAACCAAGGAGGCTGAAACAAGGACCGAAGTAGAGAAGGATCTAGAAGGAAGTGACTGGAGTCAGAGCAGAAACCTAGGCAGGGCAGGAAATCAGAATGACTGGGCTTTCTGGCAGTTGCATCACAGATGAATTTCATCCTAATGAGTCTTGCTCCTGGGCACCCCAGGTGGCTGTGGATGGGACAGGGGCGGGTTAAAGGAAGCCTGGCAGGAAAGTGGGATAGGGTGTCTACCAAGCAGAGGCTGGATCCTTTTCCCTGTTGCTTTCCAGGGATTCGGAAAGAACCAGGAAATAAGACAATCTTGTGCTTAAAAAAACAAAAACAAAAACGGGAGGGAGGACTCCCTCACCTAGAGTCAGACCAGGCATTGTTAGCACCTTAAGATCAGTAGCTTCCAGAACAAAGAAGGCCAACGGGCTGGGGGCTTCTCCAGCTGCCACTGTGTGGAAGAGGCAGGGGCAGAGAATGCCAAAGGCTTGAGGAATCCAGTAAGATGTCACCACTAGTCCCTGGCTCACGGGACCCTAACTCTATTCAGGATGTGCCTCTGGACTAGGATGCAGATCCAACTAGACTCAATTTGTAGATTGACCAAATGGAGATAGAACCACGTGGATAGAGAGGGCTGTCCACGTAGTATGACCACAAAGACCCAGAGCAGCTCTTAAGAATCCACATCTCAGGGGCCTTTGCGTGCAGATGGGAGCCCATCCATCACAAAGTGCGCCCATGATGTCATGGGGTAACTCCTGGCTTCTGGAGACCATCCTTTAGTCCACAGGTGGCTGCTCTGGGCTCTTTCAGCCTCCGGGGAACTGACACAGAGGCAAGGGCAGCTTCAGCCAGTGCAGGACTGGGGCTAGAGTTTAGGTCTGGAAAGACCTGGGTGCGTGTGTCTTGGCCCAACAGATATTTACTGGGAACAGACTTATTGAATAATTATACCACCACCACTAAGTTATCTTCCCATTTATCTGTGTGCTTACCAGGGGATCCACAGGGTTGTTTTAGCTAAGACTATTTCTTTAAGCCCCAGCTTGTACCCAGCCAGTCCTGATGAGAAAATCGAGTCCTCGAAAAGAGACATTTGTACAGAGGAATCTGACATTGCCTCTGGATAGGAAAACTTGTTTGAGGGAACGCCACATACACCACACCAAGGTCATTTTCAGGCGACTTTCAAGCAATAGTCGCGCTTCGCGAGTGTCCCAAACCGGAACGTGGGACCGGAGAACCAGCCATGAAATTGCAGCGGTACGAGCGCATTCAAACAAGGTTCCGTTCTGCCTTTACGAAATAGACGTAAAGACAAAAACGAAATTTTGGAAAGCCGATGACAAAGCGCCCTAGGAAAAGCAACTCGCCCAACGGAAAAAAATACGGAAACTGATCAGAATTCTCCAGCAAAACGGGAGCCTCTCCGGGGTCCAAGAGGCGATTAGTGAAGGCGCGAAGCGGAACGGGAGCGCGGGGCCACCAGTGTGCGCAGGCCAGCGGGCTGGGGAGGAGAGGAGCTTCCCTTCTGCAAAGTAAAGTATCTTGGGTTCAAGCGTGCAGGTAAGAATCAGGAAAGAGAGGTGACCGGGATCACTCATTCGTTCCCATTAAGTATTCCTTCTCAGGACCAGTCTGGAAACCCGTCCCAGCTTTCAGGGGTGAGTTCGCAAGACTAGCGGCAGGGCAACGGTTGAGCCCCTCCGGGACCGAGGGGTGGCGTAGACCATTTTTAAGAAGTGCATTTTGGAGGTGCTGGGGTTGCTGCCTAAGGGGAGGTGAAGAATGAGAACTGAGGGGGGGGGGCTGGGAGACGAGAGGGGGCAGAGATGGGTACACTCGGAGAGGAGAGGAGCCCCTCAAAATGCCGAGTGGTCGGAGAGGGAGACCCGGAAAGCGAAAGAGCAAAGCCTGGGGTGAGTGGTGGTGACCAGAGACAGCGGCGGCCAAGACGAATTTCTCACGGCCTAGCAACTGGGGGTTGACCGAACACGTACTTGGCGCTCAATCCTGCTTCTGTCCTCTCAGCCGTACCCGGCCGAGAAGGAAGGTTCGAGGACCGTCGAGGCAAACGCATCCCTAAGGCGCATCATCCCGGGACCCTCCCGCTCCTCTAGCCCCCCGAGGTCTGAGTCCTGGGTCCCCTACTAAATCACGCTCGAGGGCAGTTTTCTCCCCATGGGGGCGGGTCTCAGAACCTGGGAAACACTCCGCCCAGGCCCCTTGCCCAAGAGAGGCCAGGGAGGAGCGAGCGAGGGGCGGGATGCGACCTAGTTAGCCGCCCTCCCCCGCTCTCCGCCCGCCCCCCCGCGGGCCAGTCCCTGCTCGGCCTGCCGGCGGACCCAGCCCGCAAGGGTTAAAGGCGGCCGCAGGTGAGGTGGGCGGGGCCGCGAATTGGGGAAAAAGGAGCGCAGGGCAGAGGATGAAGGCAGAGCGCGCGGGTGAGTCACGGGCGGAGCAGGTCTCGCTCGCTCGTTCGCTGGCTGCAGCCCGCCCTCCGCCCTCCGCCCTCCCGCCGGCTCTCTCCGCCCCTCCTCCGCCGCCAGCCGCCGGTCTGATCGCGGCCCCCGCGCGCCCTCGGCCCCTGCCCCTCGCCGCTGGAGAGCCCGTCGGCGCGCAGGGCTCGCGAGCGCCAGTCTGTAGCGCGCCAGCCAGCCGCGTCCGGAGCCCGCGCGCAGCCTCGAGGTAGGAGTCGGGGTCCGGGTGGCCAGGGGTGCATGTTACCGGTATCCTTCGCAAGGGACCGCGCCGCAACTTCCAAGGTCTCCAAGGGCGGTGGTCCTAAAGGAGCCGGAGGGCTTAGAGTCTCGGAGGAGTGAAAACTGGGCAGACGGGAGAGACTGGTGGGACCAAGGAGGCTGGAAACTGGGGAAACTGGAGAGACTGGGACAACCAGAGGATTGGAACCTTGAGGACGGGGAGTACGGAAGTCCTGACCACTTGAACGCCGGTGATCGGGAGAACCAGCCGGCGGTAGTGGGGGCTGGAGGTGGCCCTGCCTGCCTTCCCTTGTTGGGGAGCGAAAACCGGGAGTGCGCGCTCTGCTGATTCCTTTCCCGAGAGCTTGGTATCATGCCATTGCAGCCCAGACTAAGCTCCCTGGCCCTGTACCGGGAGAGGCCACTCCGGAGCCGGGTCGTCCTAGCCTCCCCACCCCCCAGCCCCTGGGGCAGGTCCCAGGCGCCAAAAGCTATTAGGGTCCCAGGCTTCTCCTCCCGCCCAGCCCCTTCTGGGCCGCCCCGCCTGGGCCTGAGGCTCCGTTCCTGCTGCTTCTCTCCTTTCTTGTGGTGAGGATGCCGGAGCCTGAGTAGGCGCCCAGTCCTCCTCTCCCTCCCACTCCAGACTACCTGCGCCACCTCCCTGGTCCCTGAGGCTGAAAGTGGTGGGGTCAGCCGAGCTCTCTGTGGGAAGGAATCATCGATGCCCCAATCCTGCCGTTTCCTTCCCCACTATCAGATAAGGCCCCGGCACACAAACCCGATGATCCTCTGGCAGCAGGGTTCTCGGGCCTTAGGGAGAGGTGATGAGAAGGGGCATCTTCAAGTCACAGGTGTGCGGTGGAGAAAGAGGTGGGGGTAGTTAAGTGCCCACAGATTCAGGGAAAGATTAACATTCCAGCAGTCTGGGACTTGGTACATAGAGGCACTCACTACAGGTTTGTTGATTAAATGAAGAAATTAATGTCTTTGTTCGAATCACTTTTCCAAATACTATCTCAGTTTCCTCTTTTCTGAAATAAGAGGATTGACCTGGAGCAGTGGCTCTCAACATGACTGCATACTGCTGTCATCTAGGGAGTTCTTAAAAATGATCCATTCCTAAAGTGCACCCCCCCCATCTAATCTCTTTAGATCATTCTTAAGTTACAACCCTCCACTTCCCCAGTTCTGACATTGCATCCCTAAAAGGGGTGGTTTACTGGTAGGCCCCTTTCCACTGACCACTGACCAACTCTTCTCTGGGAGAAGCTGACCCCTCCGAAGTGGAGTGAGTGAATAGGGGTGATTGGAGGAGGTAGGGCATGGGTAAGCAGCCCAAGAGTGGGCTGGAACTGGTGTGGAAGGGGTTTGGCTTCCATGGGTGGTGAGAAGTCCTCTGAAAGTGTCACTGCTGCACCCAAGGGAGGTGAAATCCCTGGCTAAGTGAAAGGGGAGGGGCCCAGGGGTGGAAGTAGGTTGTTTTTTTTCTGTTTGTTTGTTTTTTGGCTAACCCAAGTGGGCTTGTGGGGGCAGTGATGGGGGAAGTGCACAGAGCAACGAATCTTTTCCTCAGTGACTGTGTCTCAGGGAAGAGCTTTTTCCAGAATTTATGAACCAGCTTTGGACTTTGGGAAGTCGGGTCACCTCCAGCTTTGAGTTTCAGAAACAGACCACCTCCCTCACCTCATCTGTGCCCTGAGTTAAACCAAGGAAGCAGAATTGGGTCTGGATCCTCCATTTGCATTGACAGCGAGTGTGTGTGGGGGGAGGGAATGCCACTGCTTGGACACTGATGGTGGAGTCCACTATGGTACTGGAGGTCCAGAGAGCTCTCTGACACCAGTCTGAGCCAGCCCAACTCCCAGGATAAACTGAGTCCTAGGGGAAGAGTCACTTAAGGGAAGGTAGACTTCCATCCTCCTCTGCACTTAGCCTAGAAACTCACAACCACAGCCCTTCCTAGCATTCCTAACGTCCCTTAGCTGACCTTAGGTCCCACACAGAGGGGAGTTTCTCTTTCACACCTCGGGGCCAGAGAGGAGCACTTTGCAGGGAGAGGCTGTGGGTTGGGACTGAAAGTGAGGTGGTCATTTACCTCACTTCACCTCTTCTTTGTCTCCTTTAGGTCCCATCCGAGGTGTCCCTGACCGTCCCTGTCCCCCACCCCACCCCGGATTCCGGCAATGCTAACCGCTGTCTGCGGCTCTCTGGGCAGCCAGCACACGGACGCGCCTCACGCCTCTCCGCCGCGCCTGGACCTGCAGCCTCTGCAAACATACCAGGGCCACACGAGCCCCGAGGCCGGGGACTACCCCTCCCCCCTGCAGCCTGGAGAGCTGCAGAGCCTCCCGCTGGGCCCAGAGGTGGACTTCTCACAGGGCTATGAGTTGCCGGGGACCTCCTCTCGGGTAACCTGTGAGGACCTGGAAAGCGACAGTCCCTTGGCCCCGGGACCCTTTTCCAAGCTCCTCCAGCCGGACATGTCACACCACTACGAATCGTGGTTCCGGCCAACTCACCCAGGCACCGAGGATGGCTCATGGTGGGACCTTCATCCGGGCACCAGCTGGATGGACCTCCCCCACACTCAGGGCGCGCTGACCTCACCTGGCCACCCGGGGGCGCTTCAGGCTGGTTTGGGGGGCTACGTCGGAGACCACCAGCTTTGTGCCCCGCCGCCCCACCCACATCCACACCACCTCCTCCCAGCCGCCGGAGGGCAGCACCTCCTGGGGCCTCCAGACGGGGCTAAGGCCTTGGAAGCAGCGGCCCCGGAGTCCCAGGGGCTGGATACCAGTCTGGACGGGGCAGCCCGACCCAAAGGCTCTCGGCGGTCAGTGCCCCGCAGCTCAGGCCAGACGGTGTGTCGCTGTCCCAACTGCCTGGAGGCGGAGCGACTGGGGGCTCCGTGCGGGCCGGATGGGGGCAAGAAGAAGCATCTGCATAATTGCCACATCCCGGGCTGCGGGAAAGCCTACGCCAAGACGTCGCACCTGAAGGCGCACCTGCGCTGGCACAGCGGCGACCGTCCCTTCGTGTGCAACTGGCTCTTCTGCGGCAAGCGCTTCACGCGCTCCGACGAGCTGCAGCGTCACCTCCAGACCCACACGGGCACCAAGAAGTTCCCCTGTGCCGTCTGCAGCCGCGTCTTCATGCGCAGCGACCACCTGGCCAAACACATGAAAACCCACGAGGGCGCCAAAGAGGAGGCTGCGGGGGCTGCCGCGGGCGAGGGCAAGGCGGGCGGGGCCGGGGAGCCCCCCGGGGGCAAAGGCAAGCGGGAGTCCGAGGGCAGCGGGGCTCCCTCCAACTGAGCTCCCGGCGCCGCCTCCCTGCTGGCCTCCCCTGGGGGCTTCGCAAGAGCGCCCCCGCCCCATCGCCTGCTGTCGGCGAGGGGCGGCTTGAGGAAGAGGTGGTTATTTATTGACGGGGAGGAAAAGCGGGGCGGGGTCAGGGAGACGGGCACTAGGGGTTTTAGTCTGGGGCTGGGCGGGACGCATTAGACTGGCCGGGCCGCGAGGAGCTTCGAATGCCTCTCTGCTCTCCCCTTCCTCACTATTTTACTCACCCCCGGGGCTGGGGGCAGCGGTGGCGTGAGGAACCCCAACCGCGGCTGGAGGGCGCGGACAGGCCAGGGGAGACAGCACCCGCCGCGCCCCGTCCCGGAGCGGGAGCCGCGAGCCGCGAGCCGCGAGGAGAGGGGCCGCCCCTGGCGCTGGGGGTAGCTGTCTGGACTCGCCCTTAGCGCCTGGGAACCGTGACATAAAAGCGCCTCCGGAGCCGCCCAATGGCCCCGGCCCCTTTCATCCCGGGTGTAGTGAGTGCTTCTACCCCTAGGGTTTCCGGGCAGATGGGGGCGGCTGGGGGTCCAGGGTGCTTGCTGTAGAAAACTCCTTTGATGCACCTCCTCATTAGCCCGACCAGACCCCAGTTGGAGGGTGCCATGAAGGAAAAGCTTGAGAGGGCCAGAGTCCGCACAGCTCCAGCCGAACTGCGGGGTGGAGGAGAGAGCTAGATGTGAGTGAGCGGTGAGCAAGGAAGTCGCTGTCTCAGATTGAAGAAAGGGATTTGGTGGGGGAGTGGAAGGAACGAACTCCTTCCCTCCAGCTGATTCAGTCCTTAACTCTTGTCTTTATAAAAAAGAAAGTTCAGCTCAGTAGTCCCTGCTCCCCGCCTGGTATCCCATGTAAGCCTTCAAGGCCACAGAAGCCTCACTCTAGAGTTGATGTAGTACCTCATCCCATTCCTTACCTTCCCCTTGGGGCTGGAAGAGGGTCACCTGGGTTGGATGGGGTGCCCCTGCAGGGGGACCTCCACTCAAACTGGAGGGCTCTGTCCTGCCTGCCAGCTCCTCCTCTCCGAGGGAAGTTCCCAGGTTTCTTTAGCTCCACCCTCCCCTTTCTCTGCAGCCTGCAGCCTAGTGTCTCCTGCAGAGAGTGGGCTAGGGGGCTCCTTCCTCCCCCATCTCATGGGGTGGGAGGCTCCCCTTGCATAGGAAGGAGTTGTGCCCCTGTTGGAAGGGGCTCTGCCTTTTGAGGTGACTTCCAGGAAGCTGCTCCTGTTCCTTCTTTAGATGCTAGCAATCCATCCTGATTGTGATCAGGGAGGTGGGGGAGGGGCGGGGCAGGGCAGGGCGCAGCCTAGGTTGAGCCAGGTAAAGGGAAAGAAGCTGATCTGGGGAAGGGGCTGGTGGGCCCAAGTAGAGGCCTTAGCACTGCCCCTTTCTCCACCCAGAGCGCTATTCAAGGATTAGTTGTGTATTGATTTTTAAGTTATAAGCAAAGGGTATTTTATTTAATATTAGGGAGTATATGTGTGTGGTGTGTGTAGCTGTGGTGTGTGTGTGAGTGCATGTGAGTGTGTGTATTTCTCTACTGAGCCTGGGGTCTCCAGCCAGGGAGATCCCATCTTTTTCACATCATCCATGGTCCTGGAGGCCAGGTCCACAGTGTCTCTTCCTCCCTTGGGGATGCTGGAACCCCATGCCGAGGACTGGGAACTACATGGGAGGTGAGGCCGGGATCTGGGTGGGAATGTTTGTGGAGAGGGAGCCTTTAAAAGGGACAGAGTGCCTGTCATGGGCCTGGGGTAGTTTAAGAAGTAATGTTCATTCTTTATTCCCCCTCCCCCTCCCTCCTGCTAACCCACCCAGAGTTCCTTTCCTTGCTGAGGGGTGGGGGTGGGGGGCAGGACAGTTGGCAGTGCCTGTAGGTTGCCTGGCAGGTGGAGGGGGGAGAAGGAGGGCACTGTGGGTGTGGGATGCCTCTTCTCCTCCACCCATCGAAACCAGCCACCCCCACCCTGTGCCACCAGGACGGCCTTTCCTGTGACCCTTCGGAGAATTCCTGAATGGGTGCTGGTGGTGGAGGGGCATGGGTGTCCCCCCAGGGAGGCCCCGAGCTCTAAGGTGTGCTGGTGAGGGCTTTGGATAGGTTTTCTTCTGCTCCCCTCCTTTCTAGATCTAGGTTGTGCCTGGCTGCCCACCTCAAGGCAGCCCCCTAGAGGAGAAATGTAGGAATTTTTTTTCTTTTAACTGCTGTGAACCCACTTTGAGGGGGAGGAGGAGGAGGAAACAGCCTATGTTTTTTATGCCATAATAAAGTCATCAATACATCGTTGCTTCATTTGTCTTCCGATTCGAGTTTCCTTTTTGACTCAGTGGTCCTCAGCAGTGAAGACCGTGCTGGCTGTGGGGTGGGGTGGACAGTGCCTTTCACCTGCAGCTCTCTGCAACCTTGCCGCAGAGCTGGGCTGATTAGAAGGGGCAAAGCCTGCCCCTCTGGCCCTGAGGGGGCTGGTGCAGATGGGGGGAGGAACTCCAACAGCAGGGACCAGAGGTTCTGGATGTTTCCTTCCTCCGCACAAGCCCCTTGCTCCCCCTCCCCTGCCAAGCACGCTGGTTCTCTGCCTGCCTGAGATAGCCGCCTCTGGTTCCCTCACCCCGCCCCATGGGGGTGTGCGTGTCAATCGGTCCCTCTGGCTGTGAGTGAGGTGGGGGTGACTGACAGTGATTTCTTCACTCAAGATGATCCCTATCAGGGACAAGGCGATGAAAGGCAGCCAAGTTATCTGATGGGCTCCCTCCCAGCTGGAAAGTAGGAGGGAAAGGCTCGCACTGCAGCTCTCAGCTAGCGACCAGCCAGTTACACAACCCGCTGCGTGCAATGTGCAGCCTGGCCCACAGGGCGCCCTCGCTCCGGCAGAAACGCTCCCCTGGCCAGGCTGCCCCATGCCTGGCATGCAGCTGGTGCCCAGCTTGTGCTAGATCAGTAAAACCCTTATGCCTCCAGAGCCACACAGCCAGGAAGGTCGTCAAGAGGATCCATTTTGGGCTCCGACAGAGCAGAGTGGCTGATGGAGTTCCTTCGCAGCCAACATTCTGGCCAAAACCATTAACTTCCCTGCTGGGGTTTCTATTTCCCCTACTCTCACCTGAACCCAATTTCTTAGAACCAAATCTGGTATCCAGCTTGGCCCATCCCATCACTTGTTTAGGGAAGTCTGGCCCATCCCATCACTTGTTTGGGGGAGTCTGGGGTCACAAAGTTTAAGGGCACCACAGGGTAGGGGCATCAGAATGATGTAGGGGTTATAGAGGAAATCAGATGTTTGGGGGGACCAACCTGGATTGCGAAGCCTGTGAGGAGGGTCAGGTGAGTATTCCTGTGATATGGAGCCTGCCCTCTCCCTGGGATGCTGCCTCTTTTGTCTGCCTCCTGGGGGAGTTAGACCCCCAGGAACCTGGCAGGGGCTCTCTCCTTCTCCCCCAGCGCTGAGGGCAGCTGTGAGGCCGGCTGGGCCTGTCTGGGCCTGTCTGGGCAGGGCTGGGGCCGCCCCTCCTCCCTTCAGCTCCTCCCGCTGACCTGCATTCTTAGTGGGGGCCTTTGGTGGGGCTGTCTCATGCTTGCTGGCTCCCTCGCTCTTATCCTGACAGCAATGCTGCCTAGCTGGCCAGGCCCCCCTGATGGGGCCCAACCTCTGACCCAGACAGATCTGGCACCCACCCCCTCTGACCGCAGGAGGAGTTAGGGAAATCAGAACATTTGGGCTAACTCTCTGGACACCTCTATGAGCCACCTTCTCTTCTTCTGGAGAGTGGGAATAGAGTCCTCTAGTGTGGGTGAGTGAGACTGGGACTGGGAAGTGACAGAGGGGCAGGAAGTCTGGCAATGCAGCCTGGAGCTGTGCGGGGCAACACACACTTCTCCTGCCTGTCTCTGCCCCCTAGTGGGAGTCTGGAGGAGGTGCAGGAGGTGAGCACACTGGCAAGTGGCTTGAATGCTTGTACTTGTCACCTACATACACACCTTGATGATGGCTTCTGGAATGGCACCCATAGCCACCTCACCACCCTTTCCCAACACCACACCAGAAGCAGGCTTCACCTTCCCATTAATCACAGAGAATCTGATTGCTCAGCCGGGCTTGGAAAAAAACTCTCCAGAACCAAATAGCCCACTTCTTCCCATGGGTATTTTAGAATCACTCATGGAGTTTTCCAAGATACCCCAACTCACTCCCCAACACCTCACCGAGTTATGCCCCTCAGGGATAGATTAGAGCAGCGTTTCTTAAGCTTCACACCTGGGACACTCATTACCACGCAGATTCTGATTCAGTAGGTCTGAGGTGGGGCCCGAGATTACATTTTTAACAAGCACCCAGGTGAAGCTGATGCTGGCATTCCAAGGACATTTGAGTAGCAGAGGATTAAAGTACTGTGTTGTGCAGTGGAAGCTGTCTGGTTGAAAAATAATCCCTCTTATACCCCCTGCCCCCCATGGCTGAAGACCACTGATGTAGCCCAGTGCCTTCATGTGGTTACTGCGAAAATTGAGGCCCAAAGACACCCCGCAGACCTGCAGCAGAAGCAAGATGAGGTGCCAGTCAGAACTCCAGAGCTCCAGCTAGTGCTCGCCCTGCCTCCAGCCCAGCTCTCGCCCATTGTCTCCACAAGCAGCGTCTCCTTTCTGAAGGTAGGCCCAGCTCCCACTTCATCCTTGTTTACCTAGAAGCAAATGTGAAAGAGCTCACATTTCAGACCCCCCAATGGCTTTCTCTGATGGGTCTCTGCCCACCTGCCTGCAGCCTGGTCCTCTACCTTCATCCCCACAGCCTCAGATGCTGAGGACAGGACTAGCTGGTGGCCTTGGAAGGACAAAGGTGGGAGAAGTCAGTAATCCTCAGGTCTCCCTTCCCCCACTCTGGGAGGCTCCAAAGGGCAAAGGGGCTTGAGGTGCATTTTTTAAGCGGTGATAATGGAGATGGTTTGTAGATGGAAAGATCTGGGGAGGCAGAACATTTGGGATTGCAGTCTTTCTCAGCACCCCTCGGTCAAGATTTCTCCTTTGCTGGTCCAGTTTCACTCGTAAAGCACCAAGTCTTTGCACTAGAACTTTCCAAGTGTCCCCTGGCAGCTCTCTTCCTACGTGGGGCGTGGGGCGAGAGAACAAGCCCACTGCAGGTCAGTGGGGTTTGTGTATATATGCTTTTTAAAAACTGCATTAGCGCATCCTTGGTGGCAGGACAGGTTAAAGCACAGCGCTATGAAGCTATCGCTCCCACTGAAACGTGAGTTCAATCCCCTGCCGGGGAGGCTACCCACCTGGTGCAGCAGACCTCTCCTGTCTCACCCACTGCTCCCCTCAGCAGTGTACTTCGCCCATCTGCCTGTTCTGCTCCCCGCTCTGTCTCTGGTGAATCCTCTCACCCCCAGCACCTCTGGCTTGTACCCCACTTCTGAATGCATAAAGGAACCTTTAAAAATAAAATGATTACATTAGCTTAAGTTATCCGTACTCCTCCTGGCCCTTGACCACTTTTATAGATCTTATTCACCAGGGGGCCGCCAACCTGTTTGTGCCTCTGGAATTCGAACCGGGCCTCAGCGGCTGGCGTTCTTCCTTGATCTCCACACGCCTGGCAGTCCCCGCTCCTTTAACAAATTAGCCCGGTTTGCTTTCCTCCCTTTTCACCTGGGCTCCTTTCCACCCCCACCACCGGCTCCCCGCAGTGACCTCATTAGAGGAACCGACCGATTCGTCGCAACTTTTATTGGGCCAGAAAGCGGCGCCTGTCGGGAAGGGCGGCAGGGAAAGGCGGCAGCCAGGCGGGCCTAGACGCGGCTCGGCTCCGAGAGGTGGTGCTGGCGCGCGCCCTGGTGGCAAACGGCGGCACTGCAGGCGCGGGGTTCCGGCTCCGCCTCCCGGGCGAGGCCTTCCAGGTCACCTGCGAGTCTCCGCCCAATGGGGCCGACCTGACCCAAGCCGAGACGGCACCGCTCGGGACGTAGCCGGGGATCTCGGAGGGAGACAGGGTGAGGGGCATACCAGGCGAAGCCAGAAAGGGGGGCTCGGGATTGCGGGACTCTTGGAGAGAAGTGGGGTAGGAGGCAGATGGTCACACCTGCATCGAAGGGCCGGGACCCCGTGCTGGGCCCGGGCGCGGAGGGTGCGGCATGGGCGCCTAACTCCCAAACCTGGAGCCTGCGGGGAGAGTGGGTGCCCCCGCGCGCACCCGGCACACCCAAGTGTATGTGCGGGGCTGGGCGTCAGAAGCCAGGGCCAGTGTCTCCCCTGGGTGTCTTGGCTCCAGTCAAGGGGGTGGCCTCCATCAGGACGGTGGGAGGCGTCCTGGAGGGGCACACTCATTCCCACCTCTGCCCAGATGGCATCGAGGAGCTCTGACACCCCATGTTCCTGCGACTGCTTTGTCTCCGTGCCCCCGGCCTCGGCCATCCCTGCCGTGATCTTTGCCAAGAACTCGGACCGACCTCGGGACGAGGTTCAAGAGGTGGTGTTTATACCAGCGGGCACTCACGCCCCTGGGAGCCGCCTCCAGGTGGGTGTGACAAATCCAGTGTCCTTGTAAACCCTCCTCCTCTGCTCCCACGCCTGGGAAACCATCAGATTTAGTGGGAAAGAACATACAATGAGCCTCCCCCCACACCCCTCCATGCCCCCCTTCGATGGTCACACCTGCATCAAGGGCCGGGACTCCATGCTGGGCCTGGGCTGAACCTAAACTCTCAGTTATCCTTCTCTGTGTCCTCATCTGTAACCTGGGAATAAGATCACCCTCAATGGGCTGTGGGCTGACTAGCACAGTGCCAGTGGTAGGTACCTTCTGCCTCTGAGGAGCCCTCTTTCTCCTCCCTTGTCTCCAGTGCACCTACATTGAGGTAGAACAAGCACCGAAGACCCACGCGGTGATCCTGAGCCGCCCTTCCTGGCTCTGGGGGGCTGAGATGGGCGCCAATGAACATGGTGTCTGCATTGGCAATGAGGCCGTGTGGACCAAGGAGCCCGTTGGGGAGGGGGAGGCCCTGCTGGGCATGGATCTACTCAGGTGCGGACCCCAGCCCTCCCTCATCTCCATACACCCTAAGTCCGGGACCCAGGCCACCCCTCCCCCAGCCTGGGCTGCAAGTTCTGTGGCCTCCTGGCAGTCACACTCCGTGGGGGAGATTGCCCCGCCCCGCTTCCTGGCCCCATTCCCACGGGCCTGGAGCCTCCATGGCCTCTGCTGGTCTAGAAGTAGTGGCTTAAAACCTTCTCAACCGCAGAGAGATCAGTGCCCGGGTACTGCTGTCCGAGACTCTCGGGTCTGTACACAGAACGCTCAACACAGCGTGAAGGCCTGTCACAGTCGTGCTCAGTGCAGTCAGCGCTGACTCGGGCCTGCCGCCGGACCTCTGGCCTCCCCGCCTACTGCAGCTCCCCCCAGCCCCTGGTAACCCTTCCACCCCTCTGCCTCTCTGTGCCAGGCTGGCTTTAGAACGGAGCAGCTCAGCCCGGGAGGCCTTGCACGTGGTCACGGGCCTGCTGGAGCGCTATGGGCAGGGGGGCAGCTGCCGGGAGGACCCCACGCCGTTCTGCTACCACAACACCTTCCTGCTGGCCGACAGGACCGAGGCGTGGGTGCTGGAGACGGTGGGGAGGCTGTGGGCTGCACAGAGGATCCAGGGTGAGGCTCTCCCGCCCGGGGGTGTTCCCCTTGTCCAGGCTTTGGGGGAAGAGGGAGCAGGCAGGGCCTGAGCTAGTGTGGCTGTCACAGCTGGAGGGCCTCCAGGGAGACGGAAGTGAGCCCGCCTGGATGTCTCCTCACCTGTTCACAGAGTCCTGCTGCTGCTTCCCGGCCTTCCTGGCCTTCCTGGTGCTCGGGCCACCCCTCACATGCCTTTTCCTCACCCTCCCCAAGTTGCCAGTACTTTTTTCCCTGTGATAGTTCTGTCTCCCTTCCCATGAGGGTCGGTCTGTGTCTTCACTGTCGGGCCCTTGGTGTCTCGCTGGGTGCCTGGCACGGGCTGAAGGATCCATGAGCAGTTCAGTTCCCCTGTCTCTGCAGAGGGGGCCCGAAACATCTCCAACCAGTTGAGCATTGGCGTGGACATCTCAGCCGAACACCCGGAGCTCCGGCCCCACGCTCAGGCGCAGGGCTGGTGGGACGGGCAGAGCACCTTTGACTTCGCTCGCGTCTTCTCCCTGACCCAGCAGCCTGTGCGCATGGAGGCCGCCAAGGCTCGCTTCCAGGCCGGGCGGGGGCTGCTGCAGCAACAGCAAGGTCTGTGAGCGGCTGGGCGAGGACCAGGAGGGCCACCTCAGAGCCAGCCCTTGATCTGAGGTTGTTGGTCCCCATCTACCTCCCTGCCAGGAGGCATCACAGCAGAGGCGATGATGGGCATCCTCAGGAACAAGGAGAGTGGCATCTGCATGGACTCCGGAGGCTTCCGCACCACAGCCAGCATGGTGTCCATCCTGCCCCAGGACCCCACGCAGCCCTGCGTCCACTTCCTCACCGCCACACCAGACCCTTCTAGGTGAGAGGGATGTGGGTGGAGCAGGCAGGGAAGAGTGCCAGGCGGAAGAGTGCAGACACACCGTGTCCCCATCCTTCCACCATCAGGTCAGTGTTCAAACCTTTCATCTTCGGGGAGGGGGCGGCCCAGGCCCCCCAGGTGCTGTCCCCCACTTTTGGAGCACAAGACCCCCTTCGGACCCTGCCCCGATTCCAGACGCAGGTGGATCGCCGGCACACCCTCTACCGTGGACACCAGCTGGCCCTGAGCCTGATGGAGAGTGAACAGGTAACCCCCAGGGATTAGGGGCCAGCCTGCGGGGTGACACGGCCTCTATCCCCAACTAGGACTCTGGAAATAGGAGGTGACCTGGGAGTAAAGACTTGAGAGCTGGAGAGAAGGGTCTGTCCCTCCAGAGCCAGCTGCCCAGGAGAATGCGGCTGCCCGTCCTCCTCCTGCCGTGCATGCCCGCAGACAGGCCCGCTAGACCCAGAGGGAGGCCTTTCCCAGGGACTCATCTCTGCCTTCCCCGGGCAGGATAAGGAGCAGCAGCTCCGGCAGAAGCAGCGGGACCTGGAGCACGAAGGCCTGGAGATTGCGAGGCGGCTGCTGACAGCAGAGTGGACCCCAGCCCCCCAAGAACTGGGCAGCCTCTTCCAGGCCTTTGTGGAGAGGGAGAGGCAGGCCTATGCCTGAACACACAGCTGCTCCTGGCCTGCGCTGAGCTGCGAGGGCTGAGAGGGCCCAGGACGCCCAGGCAGTAGAATCAGAGCACTGTCTGCACCCCTACAGCCTTGTCCTGAGGGCCAGCTTGGCCTCTGTCTCAATAAACATGCTCTGGTTCCCACTTGATCCCAAGTCCAGGTTGGGGGAGCAGGCCAAGCGAGGGCAAGGTGCAGCCTGAGCTGGCTTGGTACATCTGCTGGCCTTTGGGGGACAGTCTTCTGCCTCAGGTGACAGGAGCTCAACAGTGAAGGCTGCAAGGAAAGGGGTGGCCTGAGAGCAGGCGTGAAGGGTGACCAGGCAGGTCGTGGCGACGATGAGGGCCGAACTTGGTCCTCGGCGTGAACACCAGAAGGGCACTCCCCAGGGTGGTGCCTGCTAAGAGATGATGCCCTTCACGAGGTGATACCCCTCCTGCCCACTCGGGCCAGCGAGCCAGGTGGGGGCTGCAGCAGGTTTGCCGGCCTTTTGGGTAGTTACTGTAAGGCCAGACACTTGCTCTTTAGAACCAGGCTGCTGCTGAAGGCGCTGCCTTCTCTGCAGCTGCTTCTGCTGCCTGCACTGATTGCTTCCCCAGATGCCCCAGTGACGTGAGAGTCGGAGTCAGTGCTGACACTTTATTGGGGGCAGGAGCTGGCACGATGAGCGCTCTGAGGTGGCGGCAGCAAGGCGCCTGGTCTTCCCCACTCCTCATTCTGGTACCGGGAAGATGGGGCCGCTTTTCATTTCTTGATCCTTCTGGTCGGAGCCGGTTCTGCGTGGGGCCGCAGCCAGGGAGGCTGTGGGGGTGCAGCGGCTCCGGCCCCCTTCTTTGCCTGGACAGTGCTCTGCTGACCCCTGGAAGCCAGAGTGCATGGTTTCTTGGTGGTAGAGGAGGCTTGTGGCAGAGGGGCAGGCTTAGGCCGCGACCCTTCCCCGTGCCTGGGAGGGACAGGGGGGCTGCTGTCCCCAGCCGGGGGCTCGCTGGGCAGCAGGGGGAGGTCCGTGAGCACGGGCCGCGTCTCCAGCCTCAGAAGGTGCTCCGCCAGGGCTGCCCGCTGCCTGTGCTCCTTGTGCCTGTTCATCTCTTGCTCCAGCTCCTCGAGGAAGCCTGTGGGGCCAGGGGTGTGGGCGGTGAGTGAGCACGGGGCTCACGGGAAGGAGCCTAACCTGGGGCAGGGAAGGAGACACCTGTGTGCCCAGACAGGCCTGGCCCTGGCCCTCCGTTGGCTCACATCGGGATCTAGGCTTCCTGAAGGCCCTGCCAGCCCCGCCTCCCCCAGCCCTCACAGGGTAAGGTGAGTTCTGGGGAGGCCGCAAGGCTTGGGAAACAGGGTCACCTCGCTCTGAGCAGAATGGCCCACTCAGCTCCGGGAACTCATCCTCATCATCTGGGGCTGTATCCTCCTCGTCCGAGGTCCAGCGCTCCAGCACAGGCTGAAGGTCCAGGTCCAGGAGCAGGGGCAGGGCTTCTGTCACCCGTTCCCTGCAGGGAGCAAAAGCTGTGGCTGCCAGGAGGGCACCCCTGGGCAGGGAGCCCCAGCACCCACACCCAGGGTAGTGCTCACAACTGGGACATGGGTCTGCGGTCAGCTCCGAGGGGCTATGGGCTGTGCCATGTGGAGCTGCGGGAGGGGAAAAGGCACCAGCTTGGACTGGGGAGCGGGGAGGGTGCCATGGACGGGGGCCTCTGGTTTGCTGCTGAAAGGGAGACCCCCTGGGCTTAGCAGGGGAGCTCAGTTGTCTGCCGCTTCTTCCCACTCTCCCTCCTCACCTGTAGCCCTCCTGGTTGGTGCAGCTGTTTCCAGCCAAGTTGAGGATGAGAAGGCTCTCAGGGAACTCATCTGCACACGCCAGAGCAGGGGACAGGGCATCAGACCCTCTTCCAGCCCCAAGCCGCTCCGCACAGCCCCCAGGCCACTGGAGGGGGTGCTGTGATGCAAGCCCAGGAGGGGTAGAGGACACTTACTCTACTGGCCAGGGCCAGCCCTTCCTTACCCAGTTTCAGTGTTTCGATCAGGTTCTCAGAAAGGTCCAGAAACTGAAGGTGTGGGAGGTCATGGAGGTTTTCCACTTGCCTGATTTGGTTTCCTGCCAGAGACAGGAAGCTGCGGGGAAAGGCGGGGCAGAGAGACAGAGCTGAACCACGGAGCGGCTGCTAGCTGCGCCCCTGGCTAGGCAACTGGATGACCGGTGGGGACACGTGACCCTGTGGGGTGAGGAAGCGAGCAGCCATGCCTGGAGAGGTCTGAGCCCGTTCTTCGGGGTGTCCCTAGGTACCTCCCAGCCTACACTTGCGCCGGCTACCACATACCGCAAGGAGGGGATACAGGCCAGGTTCTCAATTCGCTGAATCTTGTTCTGCAGAAAGGAACCAAGGTGGGGGTTCAGCTGGTGGGGCCCTTGAAAGGATACAGAGTCCCCAGACCAGCTGGAGACCTGGCCCTGTGGGAGCCACCACCCCACTCCTTAAAATGGCTGTCGCTACCCTGGAGTGATCTGCTTTCTCCAGGCGGCTGAGTGTAAACTTGGAGTTGAGGAGGTGACCTGAGGGAACCAGGGGTGGCAGGGCAATGGAAGAGGCCTCGGTGGGCCCGTACACATGGAGGGAATGATGAACATGTATCATTTGAATCTGTAAAGTTTCTGTGGGAAAAGGTTCAGGGAACTATGTACGTTAAGACAGTTGGCTGGTTATATATGAAGCGGCCTTCACAGTACTGAAGGGTGCAGAGCAATCAACTATTTCCACATTCTCCTTCTCAAAACAGGAAATGAGCTCATCTATAAGACAGGAGAGATTTATGGCCCTCCCTGGTGGCACAAGGGATTAAAGCACAACACTAGGAAGCTAGCTGCTTCAGCACCAGCTCGATACCTGCCAGGGAGCTGACCCACAGGGCTCAGACCTCTCCTGACCTGCCCACTCTCCCCTCAGTGTATTTTGGCAGTCTGCCTGTTCTGCTCCCCTCTGTCTCTGGTGAATCCTCTCACTGCCCCTGTACCTCTGGCCTGTTCTGTATGCATAAATAAATCGATCATTAAAAAAAAAAAGATTTAGAGTAGACACAAGAACAACTTGTAGTTCAAGAGCAATGTCTGACCAAAAACAGTGACTGAAGGCCATGCTCAAGATTCAGAATTTGTGATTCATCTGGGGATGGGCCAGGGAATGGGCAACATGACCTGGTTGGCTCCATTCAGGTAAGACAGATTTGGCCCACAGCGGGAGGAAGGGCAGGGGGCAAGAGTTACCGCTTGCAGATAGAGACTGTGAAGATTCTGGAGGCCTTCTAGGTTCCTGATAGTGGTAATCCCCTCCCGGTCCAGGCGGACAGTCTGCAGTTCAGCAAGGGTGTGAAACCTGAGAGAACAGCAAGTGGGACAACAGTTCTAACAGTTCTTTTTAAAACTTTTTTAAAGATTTATTTTTTTAAAGCTTATTTATGCATATAGAACTGGGGTACAGGCCAGAGGTGCAGAGGGGTAAGAGAATTCTTCAGAGACAGAGTGGGGAGCAGAACAGGCAGACTGACGAAGCACACTGCTGAGGGGAGCAGGGGGAGTGTCAGGAGAGGCCTGCTGCGCCATGTGGGTCAGCTCCAGGGCCAAGGATCAAACTTGCACTGAAGTGCTGCAGCCAGCTGGCAGTGCTGCATCCTAACCTTTTGCACCACCAGGGAGGGCCTCTAACAGCACTAAGAGACCAATTCTGTGGTCTCTTGGCAGGGGACATGGGCACAAGGGTGGCTACATTGCTCTTGCTCATGTGTCAGGAACCCCTTGACTCAAGTGAAAAATCACTTGTTCCACCCACTCATTAATTCCTCAACATTTACTGAGTGGTATCCAGGCTGCAACTCGATTGACCTGGAGACCTGGATTTCTGTCAATAACATCGGGAGGGTCAGAGAGAGGGGAGTTAAGGGCACTTGAACTGGGAAACTGAGGGAAACCAGCTTATGGTTCCTGGAGACGCAGAGGTTCTGGAAGCTTTCCTCAGATGCTGGAAGATGGGGCTGGGGCAGAGTTGAGACAATCTTTGCAGGGAGATCTTTACTCATTTCCTTTCTGAGTGTCCATGGAGGGAAAAATCACTTGTTCCACCCATTCGTTAATTCCACGACATTCACTGAGTGCATACTAGAGGCAAATTACAGAGTCCCTGCCCATCATTACTAGGGAAGCAGGCAGATCATCTCTGATACGTGGACAACAGAGAATAGTACAGCAAATGAAGGGAGTGTCTCGGCTGTGCACTGACTCCAGAGTAGAGGGATCAGACAATGCACTCTGGAGGAGGTGACAGATGAGTAGGAGTTAAAACAGGAAGGTGCAGGGAAGGCATTTCAAGCAGAAACAATAGTATGTGCTAATTCAGTCTTATTTGAACCAAATGGGCCAAGAATCCCTTGGGCTTGATAAAATGTAGATTCTGATCAGTAAGTCTAGTTGTGGGGACCAAGACTCTTGATTTCTATGCCCACTCACTATCCTCGATGAGGCAGCTATCTCTTCTTAACAAAGTCCTGAGTAATCCCCCTGCCCCTCCCCATACTGTTGCCAAAAGGTCCTTTAAAAAAATTATTTATGCATACAAGAGTTGTATGATTCAGGTGATGCTGCTGCTGCTGCCCCCAGCCTCGGCCCCAGCCCCATTCTGAGTAGTAAGGTGCTAAGGTGTGAATATGGGGTGTTAGAGGAGTTGCACACTTGTGGAGAGTGGCAAGAAATAAGCAGGAAAAGGCACCAGAGAGATCAGCTCATGGAAAGGCATGAATTCAAGGAAGTGTCTATTAGGGAGTTCCTGGTCATGCTTGTCATTTAAAAGGCCCTTTGGTGGGCTTCTCTGGTGGCACAGGGGTAAAAGACACAGCATATGGCTCAGTTGACCTCTCCTGTCTCACCCACTGCTCTCCTCAGCAGTGTATTTCAGTAGATCTGCCTGTTTCTGCTCCCCACTCTGTCTCTGGGGAATCCTCTTACCCCTACCCTCACACCTATGGCATACTTACCCCAGTTTTTGTATGCACAAATAAAATTTTTTTTTTTTTTTTTAAGATTTATTTATTTATTCATACAGAACTGGGGTACAGGCCAGAGGCTCAGGGGCGGTGAGAGGCTTCACCAGAGACAGAGTGGGGAGCAGAACAGGCAGATCGACGAAGTACACTGCTGAGGGGAGCAGCGGGCGGGTCAGGAGAGGTCTGGCTCGCCATGTGGTCTCCTCCGGGGCAGGCGGCAGGCGGGAATCGAACTCATGCGTAAGTGGCTTCAGATTCTCAGTGCTGTGCTTTAACCCGCTGCGCCACCAGGGAGGGCCCACAAATAAAATTTTTAAAGGACCTTTTGGCAACAGTATGGGGAGGGGCAGGGGGTTACTCAGGACTTTGTTAAGAAGAGATAACTGCCTCATCGAGGATAGTGAGTGGGCATAGTGAAAATGAATGATTTTTAAGGTAGGAAAATCAGTTGAACATTGCCACTGGTTGCATGTGTGGCATGAGTAAAGAAAGGGACAAGATCAGGTCACAAGTCAGTACGGTTCATGGGGCTGGTCATCCTGGGTGTTTCAATCCTCCAGCTCAGCCCTCTCCCTCCCATTCATCCCCAACTCCTGAACTCACATCTTCTCTGACAAAGTCTCATCCTCAGGGAAGGCTAAGTTCCGCTTAGTGATGAGGGCTTCAGTAATGCACACGCCTTCTTCCTCTGGACCCTGGGCAAGCTTAGCTGTGAAAAGATGAGTTGTTACATTTCCTTATTTTTGGATGCCTGCCCCCACTATTATCCATCTGTTCTACCCACCATTCCACTTCCCTGCTCACCTCCAGGCATGATATAAAGTTGCTGGCCTGGAACGAAGGATTGTAGGACTGGAACGAAGTCCAGCGGCCTGGACAACCCCTGGGAACGACACAATGGTTTGAGGAGGGAGAAACTAGGACACTTGGGGGACAAGGCAAAGGGATTGAGTCAGAGCAAATCACTAGGGTGGGACCGAAGACAAAAGTAAATGGAGGTGGACGGCCGGGAGCTGGGGGGGGGGGTTGAAGAGGTTTGCTGGCAGCACACCGGGGAGCTGGGGTAGATGGTGATAGCGGAAGGGGAGAAAAGAGCAGTTCCCAGGAGTCTAGAGTCGTTGCTAGGAGACCAGACGCCGAGTGGGACGTTGAGGAAGGCGGGCTCACAGTTGACGAGCTCAGCGCATGCGGACTACTGCGCCTGTGGATGGCTCCGCCCACCGCTTCCGGGTCTGGAATCCCCACAATCCTCAGCTCCTTCCGCCTAGCTCGGCCCCCGTCGGTGCTTCCGGTGGCGATGGCTGCGGCCGTGGTTGGGATGCTGCGAGGGGGTCTCCTGCCCCAGGCGGGTAAGGAGCAGCCCAGAGTCCTCACGGAGCGTCCGGCCCGTGCTCTCTAGTGCCCACCTCCTCTCCTCCGCGACTGATTTTCTCCCGGAGTCTCTGACTCCAGTTTCCGGTGACCCTTGCCCCCTGCTAGATCCCCCGCTTCCTTCTAGTTTCCTGTGACTCCAGTACTAACCGCAACACGTCAGCAACAACCACACTTCCCTACGCGCCCGTCGCCTCGCCTTTGGGTTTCTGTAACGTGCCACCACGTTCTCTTGTTCGCCTCCAGAATTTTCCTTGTTCGGACCACTCTGTCCCGACCTTGGCCCTTCTTAAGGTCTCAGCCTAAATGCCACCTCGTCAAGCCTTCCTTCTTGGCTTGCTAAAAAGCGGGTTTCCCCTGTTAAAATTCCCATTATGGCCTATCACAGTCAATTTGCATTCGTTTACTTGTTGTCTCTAAACTGTAAGGGCAGAACCTTGTTTTATTAGCATAGCCAGCAGGTGGCCTGGTGCCTGGCATTAGTAGCCAAGCAGCACGTAATATAGGCCAGCACAGTGATAAATACTTCACGTTATTATCTCATTTAAATCCTAACGTCTTCTATGAAGAAAACACATTGTCATCCCCTTTTAATGGGGTTGAAGATGAAGAAACTCATATTTACACCATTGAGTGACTGGTCCAGGTTATAACCAGTAAGTAACAGAAGAGAGATTGACACCTGGGCCATCTGATTCAAAGCCTGTATGTTTAACTTGAATTTTATTTTCGCTGGTGATGAAAGCTCTTACCCAGCAATTCTCCATGCTTTCTGTTAGAGCCACCTTCCAGTTGAACCTTTCCTGGAGATCCCGTCTCAGTCTTGCAAAGGTCATTAAAGGGGGAAACTAATGTGGACTCTTTGTCAAGGATGAAGGGGTCACTTGGGCTCAGGCTTTGGAGCATGCCTTCTCTTCTGAGGGGGTGCCTTTCAACTTGTAAACATGAAGAGTGGCTGGTAGAGAAACTTGTCTGGGGGATTGTGAAAGCAATGTCATTTTTTTTTCCTTGTTTGCTTCATGTCATGGGAGACAGCTTTGGAGTAGTGGTTTTTAAGCTGTAGCATGAATCAGCATCACCTGGAGGGCTTGTTAAAACACTGTTGGCTGGATTCCACTCGAGAGCTGATTCAGTAGGTCTAAGGTGGGCCCTGAGAATTTGTTTGTTTTTTTTTTTTTTTTAGATTTGTGTGTGTGTCTACAAGAGCTGGGTTGCAGTGGAGTGGGGAGATGTGAGAGGATTCACCAAAGATAGAGTGGGAAGCAGAACAGGCAGATCTACTGGAATATTGCTGAGGGGAACAATGGGCAGGATAGGTGAGGTCTGCTGTGCCATGTGGGTCACCTCCTGGCCAGGGGTCAAACTCATGCTTCAGTGGCATCAGACAGCTTCATAGTGTTGTGCGTTAACCTGTTGCGCCACCAGGGAGGGCCTGAGAATTTTATTTTTACAAGGTCCAGGTGATGCTATGTTGCCATTTTGGGAGTGGGAGAGTGGTGCATACTTTGGGAACCAATGGTATTGACCAGGGTGTGGCAGGTTATGAGAGGACTGGTCACCATGTTTTAAATAAAGTTTTATTAGAATGCAACCACATCTGTTTGCTTACATATTATCTTCCAACATTCATGATGCAGTGGCAGAGTTGAGTAATAGTGACAGAGACCATATGGCTGTCAAACTTAAAATAGTTACTATGGTGCTTTTAAGAAAAAGTTTATTCAGTGCTCTTTCCTTTTTCAAATATGTTCAAAATACTTCCCTCCTCATCTTCCCCCTTCCACCCCCATCTTTACACATAAAAAAGCACTGGGAAAATGGCAGCCTGAAAGCATTAACCACTTATCTGAGGCTATGCATTAAAAGAGAAGGGAAGTTTTGGGAATCCAGAATTTCTGGTTGGCAGTTTCTTCTCCCACACTGTACCGAGTCTAGCTCTGTGAGTTATGGTTGCCTTTGCCCAGAGGGCGGGCTTTTACTCCACCTGGGGCAGATTAAGCCATCTCACTGAACTGCCATTTCTTCCCCCTCTGCTCCTAGGCTGGCTACCCACCATCCAGACCATCCGCCATGGCTCCAAGGCCGTTACCCGCCACCGTCGTGTGATGCACTTTGAGCGGCAGAAACTGATGGCTTTGACTGAGTACATCCCCCCCAAACCTGCTGTCAGCCCAAGTTGCCTCCCATCTCCTCCCAAGCCTCCTCAGGAGGTAAGAGGAGACCGCGCATGTCACCTGGCTGGGGTGGGTAGGTGCGAGTGATTCTATGGCCTTGGTGAAGTTGGGCTCCGCTCACTGTCATCCACATCATTCCTTGAGTCCCATGGGCCAGACACTAAAATGAAATTTACACTTGGTTCTGCATTGGCCTGTTGGGCTCTGGATTTGATGGGCCTCCTGAATTTCCTTCACACTTTAGTTGTCTCCAAAAATATGTGTGTAAAAGCTATGCAAGCAGGTGGGGGAGAGTAGTTCCACTCTCCTGCTTGGAAACACTTGAAGCAGCCACATTCTCCTAAGAGAAACAACTAGAGATTTTTCTTTCCTTAAAAAAATGAACAGAAAGGGCCTCCCTGGTGGCATAAGGAGTCAAGTCTCAGCACTATGAAGCTAGCCGCAGCCACTGCAGCAGGAGTTCGATCCCTGGCCAGGGAGCTGACCCACATGGCACAGCAGACATCTCCTGTCGTGCCCACTGCTCCCCTCAGCAGTGTATTTCAGTCAGTCTGCCTGTTCTGCTCCCCACTCTCTGGTGAATCTTTTCACCCATCTCCCCCACACCTCTGGCCTCTACCCCAGTTCTGTATGCATAAATAAATATTTTTAAAAAATCTCTTCATTGGTTGTGGAGGTCTGTGAGTATATCCTCAGGTCTATAAGTTCTCAACTTTGAGAAACACTATCTGAAGAAAATACCTCTACTTATCCCCAAAAGAGTTATCTTAGATGTGTAGTTGCTAAAATAATTCAATTAACAGAGGGACCATTGAAGTAGTTTTGACAACTATAATTTTGACAGTTGACAATTAGGTTGACTGGGCCAGACTGCTGACCAGTGCTGAGGGCCGTGCATTCTCAGGCTTGGAACAGGCTGCTGAGGAATGTGAAGGCCTGAAGTGCAAGGTGGTGATGACACTAAATGTAGCGGCCCAATTCTTCCTGTACCCTAACCTCCCAAATTTGGGTGTCACTGGAAGCCCCAGCATCTGTTCCTGAGGGAGGAAGAGATGGATGCGGGGAGGAGAGGCAGCTTACGTCCCCTTGGTCGTCTCTTCCTGGGGCTTCAGGACACAGGCCTCATCCGGCTCCTCCGGCGGGAAATAGAAGCAGTTTTCCGAGACTACCGAATGATTGCTGTCTGCCAGAACGTGGCTCTGAGTGCGGAGGACAAGCTGCTTATCCGGCACCAGCTGCGGAAACACAAGATCTTGATGAAGGTCTACCCCAACCAGGTAGGGGGCCCTTTGGGTGTGTTCCCCAGCAGCTCAGATCACAGCCTCACCCCGGGATCTGGTGTTTCCCTCACCCCGCTGGGGACAGCCTCTAGCCTGGTGTCGCATCTGGATGAGAGCCGAGGAGACCCTGGCTTGCAGCATCGGCCTGATGCAGCCTGTGAGTTAGGTTTATGGCTCTTTCTCCCCAGCACACCCTTCCTTCCTGTCTTTCCAGGTCCTGAAGCCCTTCCTGGAAGACTCCAAGTACCAAAACCTGCTGCCTCTTTTTGTGGGGCACAACCTGCTACTGGTCAGTGAAGAGCCCAAGGTCAAGGAGATGGTGCGAATCTTGAAGAGCGTGCCCTTCCTGCCACTGCTAGGTGAGCAAGCACCAATGTAGCCTGTGGGTGCTGGTGGTCCTGCAGCCATGTGGCGCCACCCACCGGCTAGGCTGAGTGGGTAAAACCAGGGCCGTCCTCTGCCGACGGGCCCGAGACCTCTTGTCCAAGACCGCCTTTGTTGGCTCACTTGCGCACTGTGGGGAGACCAGAGGAGGTAGAGAGGGCTCTGTGGGGACAGGCGCTTCAGACACCCCAAGTCTAGTAGTGAGATAGACGACTGCACAGACAAAATACTTAAAACAAGTAGGCCAAGTAAAGGGGGAACAGTGAGCAGTGTTGCCCAGACTCCTGATGTTAAGAATCCCCAGAGATCTGAGCATGAGGGGAGCGTGTGTGCACACAGAGGGAGAGACCTCCCTCTCTCTCCATTGTTCAAGATCGTTCAGGAAACTGACTAGTGGGGAGGAGGCCAGGTGGCTATATTATGAAAGGGTTTTGTGGTGGGCATTCATCTCGGGGGACGGGGAGCCAGACTCCTGGGTCGGCTGGGAGATGAGCAATGGGCCACAGCCCCAGGGCGGGAACGTTGTTCTGAAAGGAGAAAGGCCCCACCGACCTGTGTTGTTCCAGGTGGCTGCGTCGACGACACCATCCTCAGCCGGCAGGGCTTCATCAGCTACTCCAAGCTTCCGAGCCTGGTCCTGGCGCAGGCGGAGCTGGTGGGCGGGCTCACCCGCCTCATGGCCCAGACCCACTCCCTGCTTCAGAACCAGCCCCTCCGCCTGACCGCCCTGTTGGAGCAGTACGTCAGACAGCAGCCCGAGGGGACCTCCACGCAGCCAGCCGGTGGGCGGCCAGACGCCCCCAGCCCTGCTCCGGACTCATAGCCAGCCTCGTGTACCCAGCTTGTCCCACTGGCTGCTGTCCTCGGGACTGGGAGAACGGCGGGGAGCGCATCCGTTACCTGGCTTTCCCCACAGATCCCGCACACCCGAGGTCCCGTTTCAGAGTGGAAGCTTTAGTCACTGTGTCCCGAGGCTTCCCAGCATGGGACCTGATAGGAGAAAAGTCTTTCGCTCTCCACGTCCAAGGCAGAGAAGCTGAACGGAGCAGGCCTCTCTCCTCGAGGCCGCCGTCCTTGCTGCCCGCCTCCCCGCCCCTCCCAGCGCACCGCCCTGCCCCGGAGCCCAGCCGAGTTGTTGCGTTAGGTGGCATCTGTTGAGAGCCCATTGCACCATTCTCTGGCTTCCTCTTTGGTGTATTCCTTTATTTCTTACCATGTCACCCCCATTTCAAGAGAGGCCCCTAAGGGGTGGAGGAGTTTAAACCGGCCCAGGAGCCGGTTTAAACCAGGAGCCATCAGTGAGTGGCAGAACAAGGACTTGAGCCAGCTCTCTGCTCCGACTGGGCTGCCGCGCTAGAGCCGCCTCGGTGGGGTCCCAGGTGTGTGTGGATGTCCTCTGCCCTCGGGCGTGTCCTGTGGTGGGACGCCTCCTGGGAATACACTTTTGATTAAAAAATGCAGTTTACTTCCCGTTTTGTTATGTCCATGTTTTGCTCTCATGGTTGTCCTGCTTCCCTTCCTAGACCTGCCTCCTCACACCCTGTTACCTCCCTGCTCCTGCTCCCACATTGCATCTCTTACCTGTTTGTCCAGTGGGAGGCAGGTGACCGCTCACACTCCTCAGCAGGTTCTGAGCACAAAGCTGGGGGGAAACCAGGGTCTGAATTAGTGAGGGGAACTGGGGACCTGGAGTAGAAGCTTCTGCCAAGCCTCAGGGAACCAAAAGTTCTTAATGAAGGGGACAAGGTACTCGACTGTCCTTGACGGGAGCACGTTCTGGATGGACTCGGGGTGACGTGAGGAGGGTGATATTGAACATTCCTCCTGAGCTTGGCGCAGCGCCACCGCATCCGGAGTCCTGGGCAGGCATGGTCTGAAGCGACTTCTGTGGCCTGGTCCAGGATCAACTTCCCACAGTGCCCAGCTCTGTGCCATACGCCCAGGGATGCACAATCAATATGAAGTGATTTAAAAGGCCCTTGAGGTTCCTGGATGCCAGGACTGGTCTGGCCAGTGCTGCCCACTATTCTCCCTGACTCCCAGAACTCCTCCATTTGCTAACAAGACTCCCCTGGGGCGGCAGCAGCAGAGCTAAGGTTCTGAGTGGGACACAGGTGTCTCCTGGGACACAGAAGACCCTTAGGGAAAACCAAAGCCTGTGTGGTGATGTGGTTAGGGGGAGAGAGCCCCTTCACTTCTGGGGTGCAGGAAGAACCTGATTTGCATCCTTTACCTGCTGGTGGTGCCTGAGGCCCCCCCATTAAAAACCTGGCTTCTTGTTCCAAAAGTGGCTTCACAGCACTTAATGCTGGCAGTGTGTTCACATTTGAGTTTTAGACCTTCCCGAAGCACTGGTTCTTAATTAGAATTGAGGAGCTGAACATGGTACATCAGCGAGGGGAGGAGGGGGCGTGCTCAGAAAGGAGGGGGGACCCATTGATTGTCTCATCACATAGGTGCTGCCAGTTCCACGGGTCCTGATCTGGGGCACTGGGGCCCTAAAGGCAGCTCGTGCGGGGCCCCCTAGCTGGTCCCCCCCAGCCTTCACTTCCCTGCTGACTGTGCTCTTGGCACTGTCCGTTGTGGTTCCAGAGGGGCAGCTATCCCTTTGCTGCCTGATACCTTTGCTGGCTGCAAATTTTGCAATCTATTTTCAGATGTAAAATGAGAGGGGGGTTAACGAGGAAACGGCCTGCGTACTAACGGGTCAAGGCCACACTCGCCTCAGTAAACCCTCGACACTGCTGACCTGAAGCCAGCAGCTCTCCAGTTCTCTGTGATCTATCTGGAACTGCGCCCAGTCGAGACTGCGCCCCCAATCCTGGGCCACCTCTGCCAGAGGAAGTCCGTTCAGCCCTGAGTCCTCCCGGGAGCAGGGGGGCAGAGCTGAGCGGCCGCCCGAGATCTTGGCGGGAGGAGGGGCGGAGGAGGGGGAGGTAGGGAGATCCGGCTGGAGGGGAGGCTCCGACTCTCCTTCCTTCCTGGTTCCTACAGCAGCTGCTGCCACTGCTCAGCTCCGTGAGAGCGAGCAGGCGACTCGGAGACGGTGACTCAGAGGCAGAGCGGCGCGGGCCAAGGAGCACTGGCGTCCACGGGCCCTGGGGTAAGGGGGCCGCGCTCGCATCAGCTGACTGCCCCGGAGGGCTTCTCCCACCTGAAGCTGGTGGGTCTGCGCCTCGGGGACCCGGCGGGAATGGAGGTAGAGCGGGGACACCCACCTGGCTCACCTCGACCCTGCATCCCTCTACTGACAGCCTCCCCCCCAGCCGCAAGCAGTGAGGAGCCAGGGTCCTGGGGGGCCAGAAAGGGCACAGAGGCATCCAAACACCCGAAGAGTTTGGGAACTTTCAATGGCTGAATGCAGGAGTTCCCCGTTCCTGCCTCAGTCAGCCTCTTGCTGCATGGGCCCCTCAGCCCCGCTCTCCCGACCACCCCTGCCTGGTACTGCACGGCTCTCGGTGGCACGCTCCTGTCACTTCCTGGCCTCAGTGCCTCAGGTGCCTGCTGGCTCTTGAAGAGCTGAGCCGTCTCCCCAGCCTCGGGCCAGCCTCGCCCCTCTGGTCCCCTCCCCCATCTCACACATGCAGCCTCATGCATTATTGATCTCCCCGTGGAGCCAGCATGGCCCGGGCTGGTGCCAGGGGTGCCTATGGGCACTGCTGCGGGGCCTGTGCGGACCTGGGCATGTTCTTGGCCATGTCCCCTCCCGCCCACAGGGTCGCCATCAGCGCAGCCCCCTACTCTGGGCGGGTGGGCCATTGCAGGAACCCCAAGAACTGGGATTGTGGAAGGGGGTGGCAGGTCTCTGGGAGGGGGACGGATTAAGGCTCCAAGATGGGACTTCTAGGGGGAATCTTTGATGGGAGGAGGCCTAGGACAAAAGGGGGGGCGCCTTAGGCCTCAGTTTCCCCATGCAGGAAACGGGAATCCCAGAACTAGAGGATACGGACTCCAGTTGGTAGAGTTGGGATGCAAGGGCAGATGGGGGGGGGGCTGCAGGAAGACTGTGGCAGAGTCAAGGTGGACCCCAGGCATGGGGGTGGGGTGCAGGGGTCCTGAAGGAAGCACTGGACTGAAGCATTGCTTGCCCAGAATTCCTCTGTCCTTTTTGGGAGCCTCTTCCTTCGCTGCCCTAGTCACCCCCAGGGAACCCTTCAGAGAAAGCACCAAGTGTTTCCTGGAGCCCAAGAATGTGTGCCCAAGGTGGGGCTGGGCGGGCTTTTCGCAGTTTGCTCTGAGCACCAGGCTGCCTGCCGCACGCCTCTCCGAGCAGTGGCTGCAGCCGCCGCTGGCTGTGGGCAGGGAGACCCGCCCGGGTGGGCAGGGACAGGCCCCGGAGGGGCTGGCAGGCGAGTGGATGCGTTGGTGCACTCTCCTCGCAGAGGGGGCAGGGGCAGAGCTGGTGCTGCCAGGGTCTGTGCTAATGGGGTCTTTCTCTTGCCTCCAGGGCCCCTGAGGACCAGGTGACGTCCTTCCCCTTCCACTCTGTTCTGCGTCCTCAGCAGGGAGTGGCCACTCCCTTCTCCATGGACTTTCAGCAGAGGGACCCTCCCTCCCTGGCCGAGAGCACTCAGCCTGTAAAACTCAGCAGTGCCCAGCAGGTCTGGGGGGGGCAGACAGTGAGGGGGTGCTAGCATGGCCGGGGAGAGGCAGATGCGGCCTCACCAGCCACTCCCTGCCTGTCCTGGGCTGCAGGCCTCCGAGCTCTGGGAGGTGGTGGAGGAACCCCGCAGCAGGCCGGGGACCGAAGGTGTCATGCCGGAGCGGCAGGAAGGCCACCTGCTCAAGAAGAGGAAGTGGCCCCTGAAGGGCTGGCACAAGGTAGGCGGGTGGGGCAGAGGGAGGGGCCAGGTGCCAGGGCTGGGTGGGGGCGTGGGGCAGTGCTGGGCAGAGCAGGCTGCTGAGGAGAAAAACCCTTCTCTGTGGTTGCTCTCTCCCTCTGCCCTTTCCTCTTGACTGCCCATGACGCCCCAGAGATACTTTGTGCTCGAGGATGGAATCCTTCACTATGCCACTACTCGGCAAGACGTGAGTCAGGGCCCGGCGGGGCTGTGGGAGGAGTCTGGCCCCAGCATGTCTTGGATGGGCCGGGGGCTTCCAAATTGAAACGGGCCAGAGTAGGGTCTGACCCCTGGCACAGCACTGGAGGGGGAGGGCCTCAAGCAAGCGACTGCCCTGGGCTTCAGCACGCAGTCTCTAAGATGGGGGGCGGGCTCACCCATGTAACGGCATCATCTCCCTAAGGGCTCTCGGGACAGTGCCTGACACAGAGTAAGTGCCCAAGCAATGGGAACTCATTCAGCCTTGTCCTTGTCCTGTTCCCGTCTCTGTCCGGTCCCCAAGCTGGCAACAAGGAACGCCAGGCCTCGGACTGAAGAGGGCGCTTCCTTCCTCAGCCCTGCCATTCCTGAGGCTGGGCAAGCTTGCCTTTCTCTGCCTCCTTGTTGGAGGTTCTGTGCCCAGGAGGGTGGCAGAGGCCATGCTGATCCTGTGATTTAGCCCAGAGTGGCCTCAGGAAGATGCTGGCTGTGACCCTAAGGGCCTAAAACCACCTTCCTGACACCCACTAATCCTCTACCCCAGATCACCAAGGGGAAGCTTCATGGCTCCATCGATGTCCGACTGTCTGTCATGTCCATCAACAAAAAGGCCCAGCGCATTGACCTTGACACCGAAGACAACATCTACCACCTCAAGGTGACATTTCTGGGAACAGGTGGTGGCTTAGCCCTAGCCTGGCAGAGGCTCAGGGCACAGAGGTCTGCAGAGCCCAGGTTCTGATAAGCGAGTTGCCATTGTGGACAGTGACCCTGCGAACGCCTCTGTGAACAGGCACAGGGCTGGGGGCTGACTCTTGGGGAAGCTGAGTTCTGTCTCCCTACCAGGGGCTTGGCATGACCTGGCACTCTGGGAGAGACTGCGCTTGCCTGGGCACCAGAGCCCCAACTTCTAGCTCCCGGAAGGCTGTCTGACCCTATGTGTGTCTCGCCCCCCTCCATCTCCTCTGCAGATCAAATCCCAGGACCTGTTCCAGAGCTGGGTGGCCCAGCTGCGCGCTCACCGCCTGGCCCAGCGCCTGGACATGCCCCGAGGCCCACCGCCCAGCTCCACTCACCGGAAGGCAAGAGGGGCCTGGGGGGGGCGCTGACATGGGACTGGGGTGGTGGAGTGAGGGAACTGTGAAGCAAGTGGGGGCAGGCACCATCCTTGCCCTGGACCTCCCACAGGTTCCTGGTGCCCAGCTTCTAGGAGCAGGGGGCACCTCGGCTCTACCTGGCGTTGGGGCTCGAGAGAAGGTGTCTTCCTGGCTGAGGGACAGTGACGGGCTGGATCGCTGCTCTCATGGTGAGCCCCCATAGTGCCTCTGTGGCTGGGCCCACGCTGCTGCGTCCAGGGCCAGCCGCAGTCACCAGGAACAGTGTTGCCTCGACCCCACCTCTGAGCCCCAGACGGCTTCTGCCCTAGAGGACCAGGTGTGCTCGCGCCTTTGTTGGGGAGCCCCAGTCTAACGGAGCACAGTGGGACAGTGGGACTTCTGCCCTCGGCACACAGACACAGACACAGACACAGGGCCGGGACTCAGGCGGGGAGACTCTGCCCGCCGGTGCAGGGAAGGGGTGTGCTGTGACTGGCTCCTCGTGTGGGGCGCGGTGATACTGGCCCTGGAGAGGGCAGGGGTGGCCTGGAGACTGCGACTGGGGGGCAGCTGCCCCCCGCGAGCCAGACAAGGTTGGGAACTGCGTGTCTTGGGGGTTGGGGGGAGGAAGTGTCAGGATCTCTGTGGCTGATGGGTCAAGTCTTTGGAGGAGCAAGGGAAGCTGAAGAACAGAATCTGGGGTGCCCGGTGAGTGCTGGGAGAGGGCCGTCTCCTTCTCCCCACAGAGCTCTCCGAGTGCCAGGGGAAGCTCCAGGAACTCCACAGACTGCTCCAGAGCCTGGAGTCTCTGCACCGCATCCCCTCCGCCCCCGTCATCCCCACACACCAGGTGAGGCCCCGGGGGAGCGGGCCCTGCGTCCTCTCAGCTTGCTGCCTTCCTCCCCATCAAGGCCCTTCCCTGGGTGGCCACACGGCCGCCCTGGCCCTGCCTCTCCACCTGCAGCCGCCTCGGTTGCCTTCCTGCCCCTCAGGAGCTGCCTTCCTCCCGTGCCCACGCCCTGCCCGGCGGCCGCGTCCGTCTCCACCCTCCCTGGCCATCGGCGCCTCTCCCAGCTCCGCTGGGTGCTGTTTCCTCACTCCCCCACCCTGACTTGCCAGGCCTCAGTGACAACCGAGAGGCCCAAGAAGGGGAAACGGACCAGCCGCATGTGGTGCACACAGAGCTTTGCCAAGGACGACAGCATCGGGCGGGTGAGCGGGCGTGGACGGGGCTGGGTGGGGCGCCCAGGCAGCCGCCATCCCCTTCATCCCGCCTCTTCACAGGTCGGGCGTCTCCACGGCTCTGTTCCGAACCTGTCTCGCTACCTGGAGTCCCGGGACCCCTCGGGCCCCCGGGGGCTGCCCCCTCCAGACTATGCCCACTTGCAGCGCAGTTTCTGGGCCCTGGCGCAGAAGGGTGAGTGCGCTGAGGGTGCCATGAGGAGGGCGGGGAGGGGAGAGGGTGAGGAGAGTGACCGCCTGGCCCTGCCACCACAGTGCACAGCTCCCTCAGCAGCGTCCTGGCCGCACTCACCGCTGAACGGGACCGACTGAGGGACCTGCACCAGGGCACTGAGCTGCCAAGGATGGGGGTGAGGCTTGGGGACAGGGTGGCTGGCGGGAGGAGAGGGCTTGAGGATGTGGACCGCGGGTCTGGGGGTGCCGGCAGGTCTGGGTCTGGGCCGGTGAGAGGAGCATGGCGGGCGAGGACTTCACCCCGCTGGTGCCCTGTCCCCTGCCTGCTCCCTGCAGGTCTCTGAGGCCTCGGCCAGCTCCAGGCGCCTCCACTCGCTGTCCGCCTCCTCGGACACCACTGCAGACTCCTTCAGCTCCCTCAACCCGGAGGAGGTAGGAGCAGGGCGGGCTGTGGGCACCATTTCTCCTGGGTCTCGTCCCCAGGTGAGCAGGCAAGGTTGGTTTTCAGACCCGGCATGAGCTGAGCACAGTCTGAGCTCCAGTCCCTGTCTCAGCCCGTCAGCAGAGGCCCGTCCTGGTCATTCCCTAAGTGTGCAGGACTTTCCCTTTTAACTCAGAGTCCTGTGAGTCCAGGCCACAGGAGGGGAGCTGTGGGGCCTGACCTGTGTCCTGTCCACAGCAAGAAGCTCTGTACATGAAGGGGCGGGAGCTGACCCCACAGCTGTCCCAGAGCAGCATCCTGTCTCTCGCCGACTCCCACACAGAGTTCTTTGACGCCTGCGAGGTTCTACTGTCTGCCAGTTCTTCTGAGAATGAGGTGAGAGAGGAGGGAAGCTGGCTGGGAGGGGAGGGACCCTGAGAATATAGGGGTGATGTCCAGAGGACTGGAATCTGTAGATTCTCAGATCCTTTCCACTGCCTTAGCCATGAGCTCTAGGGACATGTCCGGACCTGGGCGTGGCCTGCCCAGAAATCCCTCCCAGGGACCCTTCTTCCTGTTTGACATGCTTCACCCAAAGGGCCGGGGGAGCCTCCTGAGATTGTTGCCTCAGCTCCATGCCCATTCTCTTCCTAGGACCTCTTTTTAGCCTCAGCACTCACCCTCAGACTGAGTCACAGTAACCCCCAACTTCCTTCTGTGTCTCACTAAGTCCCTGAGCTCCCCCACACCACATCCTGAGGTCAGGCCCTCGCCCTCCCCACCTCATGATGCCAAGTGCCCCAGGGCAGTGCCTTCGGGCTCAGACTCCCCAAATACATTCTCTTCCCCTTCCCACCAAAGGGCTGGCTGGGCAGAGTCTTGACAGGCCTTGGGCACTGCCCGTGCCCAGGGGGAGGCCTAGTCTGCCCGGCCTGCCATCTGTTCCGGCCCAGGGCTCCGAAGAGGAAGAGTCATGCGCCAGTGAAATAACCACCAGCCTGTCTGAGGAGGTGCTGGACCTCCGGGGAGCCGAGCGCTGTCAGAAAGGTGCCAGCCAGGGTGCGGGGGTAATGGGGAGACTAGGTGGGCGCAGGAACTAGGTGGGTCCCTGGCCCAGGCCTCTGGGAAGGCATCCCTTATTATGATCGTTGGGCTAATATGGCTTTGGATGCTGTTTCCAGAGGTGACCCCAGGAGGTTGTGAATGTTCCAGAGCTGGGGGGTGGGAGTTGGGGCCCAGGCCCTTGGGCTAGCCAAAAAGGCTCTCAGAGGCCTCGTAGGCAGGAAAAGCCCACTTTGCCACTTTTTAGCAGTATGGCGTCAGACATGTCATTGACTTCTTAGAGCTTGTTTTCCCATCTGTAAAATGGGTTGACTAATATGCATTCTGACATGGGGTTCTGCATTTATGAAAGGGAGCAGAGGTAAAGGGGCACTCAGAAAGGGCTTCTGGGGTACAGGGTTGTGGCAGTGAGAACTATCCCCCGAATGCTCCTCAGCCCCATGGCCCTGGGAGCTCAACAAGAGTCAGACCCCAGGCCCTCCGTGGTGGCGCAAAGGGTTAGAGCTCAGCACGGCAAGCGAGCCACAGCTGCCTGAGTGCGAGTTTGATTCCCGCCCTGGAGCTGACCCACATGGCGCAGGCCTCTCCTGTCTCGCCCGCTGCTCCCCTCAGCAGTGTATTTCGCAATCTGCCTGCTCTGCTCCCTGCTCTGTCTCTGGTGAAGCCTCTCACCACCCCTGCACCTCTGGCCTGCACCCCAGTTCTGTGTGCATAAATAATCTTAAAAAACAAAAAAAAAGTCAGACCCCAGCCACCCCGCCCCACGTGAGCAGAGGCCGGGCTGGGAATGAGCGTACCCAGGAGCGCCTCTGGAAGTGGAAGCCCAGACGGGGCTGGCCCCGGCCTGCTGTCTGGATGCTGGTGCCCAGAGGGGGTGATGTGCTGGGCCCTAGGGGGGTGTGTTCCAGGGAGAGCAGCAGGGCCAGCCCGCCGCAGCTGCCTGCCAGCAGCCAGTGGCCCTGGGGCTGACGTGAGCCTGTGGAATATCCTGCGGAACAACATCGGCAAGGACCTGTCGAAGGTGTCGATGCCCGTGCAGCTCAACGAGCCACTCAACACCCTGCAGCGACTCTGCGAGGAGCTGGAATACAGCAGCCTCCTGGACCAGGCCAGCCGCATCGCGGACCCCTGCGAGCGCATGGTACCCCACCCAGCCCAGGCTGCCCCACCCCGCCCCCCGAGGCCCCGTCCCCCAGAAAACCCCGTTGGGCTCCTCCTTGCCACCAAGTTAAGTTCCACCCCGGTGCCAGTCCTTGCTGGCAGTGGGGTCGCGGCCCCTTCTTCGGCCCTGGTCCCTGAACCCCAGGACAGGCTCGGCCCTCCCCCCCGCAGGTGTACATCGCCGCCTTCGCCGTCTCGGCCTACTCCTCCACTTACCACCGGGCCGGCTGCAAGCCCTTCAACCCTGTGCTGGGGGAGACCTACGAGTGTGAGCGGCCTGACCGGGGCTTCCGCTTCATCAGCGAGCAGGTGGGCACGGGGCCGGGGCACCTGGTGCTGGGAGAGCACCAGCCGCTGGCTCAGGCCAAGCACCATGCCAGGGCGGGGCAGGGAGAGGGCTCTGCTCGAGAGCGCCCCGCTCGGTGTGGGAGGTGGGCCTAAAACAGCTGCTGGTCCTGCCGTGGAGCTGGGGTCAGGGGGCTGGGGGGTCATTCTTCCCCCTGGGGAGGCCAGCTCAGGGCGTGACCTTGAGCTCCAGGGATAAACTGGAGTCCACCGCCTGGGAGGATGGGATGTTCCAGTGTGTGGAAAGTCAGAGCTGGGGCTGGAAGGCAGACAGGGCCAGGCCCCGAGGGCCTGCGGGTGCGTTTTGTTTGTTATTAAATCCTAAAGACAGTGGGGAGTCCCTGGGGAGTGGCCTGCTCAGGGGTGATTTCATCAGGGACCCTCAGTCCACGGGTGTGCGCCCTTGGGAGCCCTGTGCACCAGCTCCAGAAGGGCTTGTGAGGATGGGGGGTGTTGCATTCCAGAGCTATTTATGTGTTGCCCTTGACGGGACTCAGTGGCCAACAGGGGGTGTCTTTCGGAGCAAGGGGTAGGGAGATGCCTGGGATGGCCTCGAGTTTCACACAGGGGGATTTGGTGGGTCACAGCAATGCCACTCAGCCAGGGGAGAGTAGATGAGGCAGGGGACTGAATTAGGGAGACTTGACGTCCACGTGGGCTCGCAGGCCTGAGTTCCTGGGAGAGCCTGGGGCCAGCTCGATGGCAGCTAAGTCACAGAGTGCCTCAGAGTGGCCCCAGGAGGGCGCCAGGTGAGGAGGGCGGACTTAGGGCGGGAGTGGAGTGAGCGGCTTCCGGGAGGAGGTTTCAGACAAAGGCTGGGGCAGAGCTGGCTCACAGTGGGTGTAGCGTGGAAGTGGAAAATTAGATAACATAGGAAATGGTGCCTATTATTTCTAAAAGTTTTACCATGAGGGAGAGAAGGTGGCAGTGGGCAGGGGGTGAGGCAGGGGACAGAGTGGAGGTGATTGTGGGATTAGACTTGAAGGTTTCTGGAGATGGCGCTAGAAGCCCGCGCAGCACAGGGCTGACAACAGCACTGTGCGGTGGCCAAGGGGCACCTGCAGGTTGGTGGCGCACAGGTGCACATCGGGCAAGGAAAGGCTTACTCTTCTGTAAGAAGGAAGGAACAGGAGAGAGTTCTATTTGGAGAGAAAGAAGGTGTGGGGGGATGGAAGGCGTAGGGGTTGGGGGAGGCCCTGCATTTGTGAGGAAGTGTAAGGGGCTGCTGGCTCCTGGTTGTGAATTGAGGGGCTGGCTTAGCCCTGCCCCTGGGGGTGGAGTGACCCTGTGGGTGCTGTCTGGGTGTCTAGGCCCGGTGGGATGGCGCCTAAGCAAGGAGCCAGGCCGCAGGGAGAGGCCGGTGCTGAGGACCTTGGCCAGCGGGGGCAGCGGGTGTGGAGGGTACGTCTGAGGGGTGACGGAGCAGTCTCCTGGGACGGAATGGGGCAGAAGCCCCGGGGACTGACGGGCCGAGTCAACGCTGGTACCGAAGGAGCTGTGGGCTATGGAGTTCAAGGTCCAGGTGTGGAGCAGCTCCCAGGAGGACGGGTCTCCCAGGGGTGCTGCAGGGTGGGACAGCTTTGCCAGGAGAAGCAGGTGGGGGAGCACCCTCAGGGGAGGGCTGGCTCTCAGGCACCCTGGGGGGGTATGTAGGGGGGTGCTGTTTGTGGGGCACCCTCAGGGGAGGGCTGGCTCTCAGGCACCCTGGGGGGGTATGTAGGGGGGTGCTGGCTCTCAGGCACCCTCAGGGGAGGGCTGGCTCTCAGGCACCCTGGGGGGGTATGTAGGGGGGTGCTGGCTCTCAGGCACCCTCAGGGGAGGGCTGGCTCTCAAGCACCCTGGGGGGGTATGTAGGGGGGTGCTGGCTCTCAGGCAGGGCTAGGTGGAGAGGGGGAGGTGGGGGCCTTGGAGGACAAGAGGATGATGGAATTGGGTGGAGGCCAAGGATGAGAGACCTGGAACTAACTGTCTTCTGGGTCACAGGGGATTGGGGGGAGGGTAAGGGACCCTGGGGACCTGGGGTCAGGAGGCGGCCTCAGGGCCTTAGGAGACCTTTGCTTATCCAGGTCTCCCACCACCCCCCCATCTCGGCATGTCACGCGGAGTCTGAGAACTTCGTCTTCTGGCAAGGTGAGGGGGGCCATGGGACTGGGGGTGAAGGGGGTTGCTGAAGAATTCTGTTCTTATCTTGGGCTATCCCCCAACCCAACCGCAGACATGAAATGGAAGAACAAGTTCTGGGGCAAATCCCTGGAGATTGTGCCGGTGGGGACCGTCAATGTCAGCCTGCCCAGGTGAGTGGGTGGGCAGCCAGGCCCTGCCCACAGGCCGCCTGCCAGGTGGGGGTGGGAAGGGGCAGGGAGAGGAAGGAAGGGCTGGCGCCTGGCACTGCTGGGGAGGGCAGCGTCTGTGCATTTACACCTGTATTTACAGCACTGGGCAATAAAGAACTGTGAGAAGTCTTAGAGCTGTCGAGCTGGAAGGGCTCACGGAGATCAGCTGATTCAGTGGTTTTCACACTTTTAGGGCCATGATTCACAGTAAGAAATGCATTTGAGATTTGAAGCACACACACACCCCTACACTGATTTCAGAACAGTGGGCTCAAGCCACACTTGAAACATCCTCATCGAGCTTGTTACACCCAGAGCAGAGGGCCTTACCCGCCACAGTCCCCCGCTTGCCGGAGCCTGGTGGGTATGGGGAGTCCCTGACTTCAGGGCCACAGGTCTGTCTGGAGTCTCGGCGCTGCCACTTCATAGCTATGCAGACAGCAAAAAGGCGGCCGCCTCCGAGGCTCCCGTCTGTTCTTCAGTGAAATAAGAGTAGTAAGTAGGCGTGCGGAGGACGCAGACTGTACATGTGCACAGCCCCACCCCCACCCGGGCACCGCACCCCAGGGCAGGGCCTGGCTGCGGGGCGTCCCCATGTATCCTGCTGCGGCAGACACGCTCCCTGGCCCTGGTGGCCCCCTCCCAGGCTGGCCTGCTGCCCTCCCTTGCCTCTCCAGGTTTGGGGACCACTTTGAGTGGAACAAGGTGACGTCCTGCATCCACAATATCCTGAGCGGCCAGCGCTGGATTGAACACTACGGAGAGGTGCTCATCCGGAACACGCAGGACAGCTCCTGCCACTGCAAGATCACCTTCTGCAAGGTGGGCGCAGCCCGCCCCTGCCCACCTGCCCAGCAGCTGGCCCTGGGGACGGAGCTGGGACACCCCCCTGAGCCCCTGCCCTCTAACGCCAGGCCAAGTACTGGAGCTCCAACATCCATGAGGTGCAGGGCGCCGTGTTCAGCCGGAGCGGCCGCGTCCTCCACCGGCTCTTTGGGAAGTGGCACGAGGGGCTGTACCGGGGGCCCCCACCTGGTGGTCAGTGCATCTGGAAACCCAGTAAGTGGGGAGGTAGAGAGGACTGGGCAGGGCTGCAGGCAGGTGTGGTGCCATCCACCTGCCTCAGCCCCTGGCCCTCCCCCAGACTCAATGCCCCCAGACCACGAACGAAACTTCGGCTTCACTCAGTTTGCCCTGGAGCTGAACGAGCTGACGTCGGAGCTGAAACACTCTCTGCCTTCCACGGACACGCGGCTGCGGCCCGACCAAAGGTCAGTGCAGGAGAGCGGTGCCTGCGCCGCTAGGCCCCTCCCTGCCCCACGCGGGCTTCCCGGTAGAACCGGGACGGAGTCTGGGGGCAGAGCTGGGCAGGAAACGGGCCTTGGGGGCCTCGAAGGGGGCAGTCCCATGCAGCAGCCTGGATGCCTAGGTATCTGGAGGAGGGGAACATACAGGCCGCTGAGGCCCAGAAGAGAAGGATCGAGCAGCTCCAGCGAGACAGGCGCAAAGTGATGGAGGAGAACAACATCGTTCACCAGGCCCGCTTCTTCAGGTGCTCTGCCGTCCTCCCGGGTCCTGCCCTGCAGCCCTTCCCTCCTCGAGTGTGGGGGGGCAGCGCCTTGGGGCCCTCGGCCTCGACTGTGGATGTCACCTGCCCTTCCACCCCCTCTTCCTGCAGGCGGCAGACAGACAGCAGTGGGAAGCAGTGGTGGGTGACCAATAACACGTACTGGCGGCTGCGGGCCGAGCCGGGCTACGGGAACCTGGATGGAGCTGTGCTCTGGTAGCCCTGGCCCCGGGGCAGGGGGCTCCGCTCCTCCCTCCTGCCTCCGCCCCCCACGGACACATGGACGAGGCCAGGCTCCCCACTCACTGTCCTGGATGCTGAGGGGGCAGCCCCGGTTCTCATCTTCTCCCCTCTGCTGGCCAGAGGGGCTGCATCTCAGCCTATTGCCACCCCATGTTTGGGGTGCAAAGCAGAATCTGTGCTCCCCCAGTCTCGTTGCCCCAGATAATCGGCATGTAAGACCCGTCTTGCTGTCTTTCCTTTACCCCCGTGCACTTGGGGGAGATGCCAGTCTCTCCGTGATCTGTTCCCCATTTCAGTGCCTTCCTAGGACACAGGGGACTCCTCGATGCTCCCCAGTCTCCCTCTGCCCAGGGCTCTGGCCCCGGCTGTGAGGTTGGATGCATGAAAGAGAGGAGACAGCCTGTGTTTTCTCTCCCTGCCACCCGTGCCCACCTCCAGCGTCTCCCCGGGCCCCGGCCCCAGCGAGCCTCCCTCTGCTCAGCTCCTGGCAGCTCTCCCATCTGGCCGGTCCCCTCCCCTGACTGCAAAACAGCCTGCAGCTTCCAGCTCCTTCCTTGGTCCTCAAGTGGTTTCCTTCAGACTCAGCTCATCGAATCCCCCCAGAGCCGACAAGTCTTCTCCAAGAAGTGGGGAGCAGACTGGACAGATGGGGCGCCTGGCCTCAGACCCACTGGGGGTGCGTGAGCACAAGTGAGGGTGTGTCTGCGTCGGTGCGCATGTGTGAGTGTTGAGTGTGCGCCCGTGTGCTGCTCGCAGGCGAGCGGATCCCTGGTGTGGCCCGGATGACCCAGCTGGGTGTCCGCCACCATTGCTGCTCATTCTCGCACAGTCTGCCTCTGATGAAGGTGAACTGCTATGACATTCCAAGCTCCAATAAAGACTGTCCAGAATGTTGGCCTGAGTGTGTTCACTTAAAAACACACAGGCTTGGGCCCTCCCTGGTGGCGCAGCGGGTTAAAGCACAGCACTGAGAAGTTAAAGCTACATCAGCATGAGTTCGATCCCCGCCCCAGAGCTGACCCACATGGCGAGGCAGACCTCTCCTGACCCGCCCGCTGCTCCCCTCAGCAGTGTACTTTGTCAGTAGGCCTGTTCTGCTCCCCGCTCTGTCTCTGGTGAATCCTTTCACTGTCCCTGCACCTGTACCCCAGCTCTGTATGCATAAATAATCTTAAAAAACAAAAAAAAACACAGGCTTAAGTTCAGTGAAGACCTGTTGGTGCCCTCGCACAGCCTGAAAATTAGGTTGTCTCCCACCCTTCATCCTCACATCCTGTAGTCCGGCCCCAGGTGTCTCTCAGCTCTGTTCCCTCTCTCCACTGCACCTGACTTAGGCCTGCCTGGCCCAGTCAGCCTGCACTGGGACAATGGCAGTCACGTGAGCATCGTAATGCTAGCTCTCGGGCTGCGATTTAGAGAGAAAACCAATATGGCATGCTGTGCCAACTCGGGACACACCCACTACTTCTGAGTGACAAGAATCCAAAGCTCTAGGACCCCTGCCCCGTCCCCCCGGGGGCGTAGGGTGCTGACCCCACCTCTAGCATCCTCAGGCAGGACTGTCTCTCCTCAGGATGGGTGGAGGGGACAGGCAAGCTGCCGTTTTTCCCACTCCCTACCCCGCATCCTAGGCCTCGTTCAGATCCCTGCTCTCACTGTAAAGCTGTGCAGTCTCAGTCCAGAGCTTTACCTTCCTGTTCAGAAGCTTGTTCCCTCGCTTTGCTTATTTTGGGTCTTCACAGAGAATGGATGTAAGTGGCCCGGGCTCCTGATTCCATCAGTAGTGCCCCAGAGGGGTGGCCCACACAGTTAAAACACACCTGCCTGATATCACATACCAGAAATAACCTTGGGCCTCCCTGCTGGCGCAGCAGCATGGAGCACAGCACTGTGAAGCTGTCCACAAGTTCGATCCCCAGGTGGGGAGCTGACCCACAGGGCGCAGCAGACCTCTCCTGTCTCCCTGCTGCTCCCCTCAGCAGTGTACTTCGTCGATCTGCCTGTTCTGCTCCCCACTCTGTTTCTGGTGAATACTCTCACCCCCTGTACCTCTGGCCTGTACCCCGTTTCTATAGGCATAAAAAAATCAATCTTAAAGAAAAAAAGGCAACCTTTCCCCAAAAAGCCAGCACCATTCAGGATCCTTTAAAAGAAGGTGCGCTTCTTCCCCAACCCTTTCTACTCGGCCACGCCAAGCCCAGCTGGCCGGCCTGTGCTCAGTTTCCACAGAGTACAAGATCTAGAGTCTAAATAGACTGAACAACACAGCTGTTTTTCAGAGGCAGGAGACTAGCAACTCCTCTCCCCAAGAACCAGGCCTGCTTCTCTGTACCCTGCAGACCAGTGTCCCCCAGGAACATGGTCAGAGGGACTGTACTTCTGGGGCCCAGTGGGTGACAAGCACTTCCTACTGGAGGAGTCACCTGACAATCCCCCACCACCCTCCCCTGTGCAACCAGAGGTTGAGGGGTCATTAGTGAGGGGCGCTGAGGCCACACTGAGCTCTGGCGCACCGGTGCCGGGCTGGGCTCTGAGCAGTGTGAGGATCTGGAAACTCAGGGTGCGAGGGTGGTGCCTCCTCGCAGCCACCAGGGAGATGGCGTCCATGCTCGGGTGGGGGACAGCAGACTCTGTTCTTAAGTCCATCTCAGTCTAGTCTGAGGATGCAAGGAGGACGGTGCCTTGGGGCAGGCGGCAAAGGTGAGGAATGAGACGTTAGGGCCCTGCCTCTCCAGTCAGCGTAGGAAAGGTGTGAGGCAGATGCTGGGCCTGGTAAAGTCAGGCTTCTCTTTCCTGGTGACCCGAAACTCAGAGCTTGTGTGAGTAGCGGGGGGAAGGGCTGGGCCCAGCAGGGGCAGCAGCCCACACCTCACCTTCAACCCAAAACACTCAGCTTGAGAGCAAAAAATGGTCTTAATTTAGCTGGTGATTACCTGGTGAGCACATCTGGGAATGATGGCACCAGAAGCCTGGGAATTCTTACAAACCCCCAATCCCTGAGTCTTCTGAATAAAGAGACAGAGTGTGTAACAAACCAGAGAAGGAAAAGAGCCTGACCCAGCCTGGATGTCAGATAAACACAGTAGGGCCGTGAGGTGGCAGAAGGAGAGTTCATTCAGGAACCACTGACCATGGGTGAGCTCCATGCAGATGGAGATGGAGGACAGGGGACGCCCCGTGGGGCAACAGGGGAGGCCCAGCAGCCAGCAGCGTGAAGACCACACGGGGCAATACACCAGGCCGGGGCCTGCCAGCTGCAGGACAGTGGGGTTCTCCCTGAGACTGGGGGACAAAGGCCCCACCCTTTCAGCTCACCTTTCAAAGGAAAGGCCTCAGGTGCTCCAGGGAGACACTTGTGAGCCACAGGAGACCCAAAGGGACAGGGGAGGGAGCCGTAGCTGTAAGCCCTTGCCAGGAAAGCTCTAAGAAAGGGGAGGCCAAGCCTATGACCAGTTGTTGGCTGGAACAGTGAGTTCCAGCAGCTCTGAGCTTTCTCAGGAGGCACTGCAAGGGGGTGCGGCCATCCTGGGGGCACAGCCTCATGCTGCAGGAAGCTGGAGTTGGCACAGAGCTGTGAATGCCTGGTCTTGAACTCTGACCCCATGTCCACTGTTTTTCTATCCAATCCCGAAAGGGCCTGCACTCTCCTGGGGGCTCCTATTGCAGCCCCACTTCTCAAGGGCACCTGAGAGACCCCAGGTTTCATTGCCTCATCGCCTGGACCAGCCTGACCTCTCCAGGGAAAGCTCCAGGGGGCCTTGCTGCTGGGTGGGTGGCCGAATGCCGCTGCCTTCCTGGAAAGGACTCACGAAGAGCTGACTGGACTTTGAGTGACCCTCTAGCTCCAGGATGGGCAAAAAGGGAGGGAGGCCGTAGCGCCCTCCCAGGGCCCCATCTCTGCCCCCCAGGGTAGTGAGGAAGGGCAGCAAAGGCTTCAGAGAGTCCTCACAGGCTGGCCTGAGAAAAGGAGGGTGCAAAGCTCCTTTCTAAAAAGGTAGGGTGCTCAGGCTTGGTCAAGGGGTAGGGGCAGCACCCCTCTTCTCTGTGGCCCCCTCACCATTAGTCCCCGAGACTGAACATGCTTGACTATTAGATGAATGATCCCTCCCCAGCTAAGGAGCATGGGAGTTGGGTTGCTCCTCTGCCACTCACCTATGACACAGAAGGAAATCCCTCAATCAGCCAGTTAAAGGGTCCAGAAAGGCGGCCTCGCAAGAGTGCAGAGGTTAAAGCCTCAGCACCATCAAGCCACTGAGGCATGAGTTTGGTCCCTGGACGGGGAGCTGACCCACACGGCACAGCAGAGCTCTTCTGTCTCACCGGCTGCTCCCCTCAGCAGTGTGTGTCAGTGGATCCACCTCCCCACCTCTGGCCTACACCCAGTTCTTATATGCATAAATAAATAAAACAAATCCTTAAAAAAATCCTAAAAAAAAAATAAAGCGCCCAGAGATTTCTGAAAGGCAGGCAATCCCAGGCTGACCAAGGTGAAGGTCAAGGGGACAGATGTAGACACCTGTCCCAGGCGTCACCTTCAGCGAGCATTCTGGCACCAACACGGCTGGTGGCTGGCGGGCCGCCTGAGGACACCCGCTTAGCAGGAGCGCGGTGGCCAGAGCCCTAGCCCAGCGGGCGGTCCGGGTGCAGTTGGGCGGGCGGCCGCCGGGGGGAGCCTGAGGACCAGAGACGCGGGGCTTTGGGAGGGAGCGAGGGACCCTGGGTGCAGTGGCCCCAGCTCCCTGAGGGGTGGGAGGTTGACAAGCGATGAGATCCGCTAGGGCGCTGAGGGGGGCCCAGGAGAAGGCAGTCCCCTCCTGAGCCTGCAGTCCTGCTTCTACAGAGAGCAGATACAGGACACCCCAATCCTGGAGGGACTCCCCAACAGCCATAACCTCTGACCCCCTCCATCCCAAAGCTATGGAGGGGGCAGGATGTGTCCCCGAAATAACCACACAATGAAAGGATGTCCTGACGGAGAAGGGGACAGAAACGTACCCTGCCCCAAAGAGTGGCAAGGGGTGAAAGACAAAAGGTGTGGAGGGGGGATGTCTGAATGCAGGCTAACTTGGGATCCTGTCAGGAGACCACTTGGGCTGTCGGTTTCTCCTTATACATGCATACATACATATATATATATATGTGTGTGTGTGTGTGTGTGTGTGTGTGTATACACACACAAACATACACACACACACACATATTTTAACCACAACATCATGGCACAGATTTTTTTTTTAACCTCCACCTCTGTTGAAAAAAAAAATGCACTGTTGATTTTGGACAATTAGAAAGTATCAAAAAATTAATGAATTAGCTTGCAATCCCACAAATCAGTGAGTATCTTTCAACTATTTACATTTTCTTCCGTAAATGATTCTGCGCACTGCGGGCAGGGGCGGCGGTGAGATCTGGCCCCTGGTGCAGGCATGTATGTCAGGTGCAGGACAAGGGGGGCAGAAGAATCTTAACTCCATGCCTGGACTTAGTACAAATCCTTTGGCTCCCATCTTTGACAAAATCTACAATAATAGACAGGTTCTTGATTCAGACTTGAGATCACCGATGATTTAGAATAGAGCTACAAAATCCGGGGAGAAATTAGTTTTGTCTCAGGGAAAAAGCAGGCCGGGAATACTAGAGATGACCCTGATCTGTCCAGGGTGCTGATAACTCGCTGGCCATCCCGCCCGGCAGGCTGGAAACATTTGATGCTAACTATGGAATTAGCTCCAGGGCCTTAGGACTCGTATTCTGCGGGCCCAGACTCAGCTTTGAGAAAATTAGAGACAGCTCCTCTTGAACCCAATGGTCTAAAATTCCCAAGAGCACTTGGAAAGAGTGACCGAAAAAAAAGATTATAACTAAATAACAGATATTTAAG